ATAAATAGGTTCTATATATTATACATATTAGTTACTAGTTTTCTGTTAACTACCTGGTCCTGAATTCGATTCTCAGGCCAGGCCTAGGTTAGTTATTGAGTTTCGTGTTAAGAAATTCTTAGTATCACTCAGTTCCGGAGTTGGAGAGTTGGGGGAGTTACACACCTCCGTCCCCAGTGCCTCGGAGAGCATTCTAAACTACAATGAAAAAGAGTTCTTACGAGTAATCGATACCCTTTCACGCTGTACTAGTAAAGTCATTGTTAAGAAACAACTTTAAATTTTAATTTATTAATTTAAAAATATTTAAAATTAACTAAGTTTTTATATAGCGCATGTATCTTATCATAATTTTGAGGGTTTTCCTAATCTCAATGCGATACCCAAGTAATTATAAAACCAATGGACTATAAATACTGGTACATCAGTCTGTTTTCAATTCAAAGCAAAATGAAGCTGTTCCTCCTACTTGTCAGTCTGGCCGTGGCCAACGCGGGGGTTCCCTACGAGCCAATAGAGTTGGACTACCACGAAAATATAGGTATTCCATTGGCTGAACGGCTTCGGCAGGCTGAGTTGGCTCAGGACTTCGATGGCGGCAGGATCGTAGGAGGAACACAGGCTGCCTTAGGGAGCCATCCATATTTGGTAATTACTTCTTGAAATTCATTTGTGAAGTTCCTTTCTTTCGTCAATTACGGGGGTTTTTTTTATTTACTTGCTGGAGTACTCGAGAATTCCATGTACGGTTATATTCGAGCCCTTTATATCAAGGCTAGCATTGCCCGCGGCTCCGCCCGCGTTCAGATGACCAAAAACCAAATTCTTAGGTTTTACATATTAGCATACTCTTATATTACAGTTTTTATATTTTTTCTTAGAAATTAGATATCTTCCACGGTAAAAAGTATCCTATATGTTGACCCGGATAACCAGCTGTCATCATACCAAATTTCATCAAAATCTATCCAGTAGTTTTTCTGTGATGCGGTAGCAGACAGACAGACAAAAATTCTAAAAAATATAGATTCGGCCTCTGTACTGATAATAAAGTTTATTTCAATAAGATTTTCCAAAAAATATCTGATGTACAGATTCGGCTTAGTTACAATTTTATTATATGTATAGATTTATAAAAGATGTTAGGTAAGATTAAAAACATTATTAATTTTTAAAATGTTTCAGGGTGGCCTCCTTATTACACTTGTGTCTGGTGGACGGTCTATCTGTGGATCTTCTCTTCTCACCAACACCCGCGTCGTCACCGCCGCTCATTGCTGGAGGACACGAAATGCCCAGGGCAGATCCGTGCAAGTCGTCTTTGGATCACTCAATCTCCTCTCTGGAGGCGTTCGCGTCACCTCAACCAACGTTCAGATGCATGCTAGCTATAATATGAACAATTTGAATAATGATGTTGCCATCATTGTTATCCCATGGGTTAATTACAACAGTAAGCATTTATAAAACCTGTATTGTTTACGCTAACATTTATTTATGAATTTGTTTTGTTAAAAAGTAATACCTTAAAATAAGTATTTCAAGGATATTGTGATTTCCAGACCACATCTCCAACATCGGTCTGGCTTCTGGCACCAACGCCTTGGTTGGAGCGAATGCGGTCGCTGCCGGCTACGGATTGACTGCTGATTGTAAGTTCAAAATTATTTCTATCCAAAATACAGATATTTTTAAATATGAATCTTAACAATCTGGTATTCAAAATTTCTAGTTGGTGGTAGTACTGGTCAATTACGTCACGTCACTCTTCAAGTGATCTCCAATGCAGATTGCGCACGCGCTTTTGGTCCAGCGAACATCCTTGCGTCCACAATCTGCACAGACGGTAGTCAACGCCGCAGTACCTGCCAAGGTGATTCTGGCGGTCCTCTTGTTTTGAACAGGCAATTGGTAATGTTTTTTTCTTTTTCATTTTTGTATGTCTGTTAGAAGACCAAAGGTATTTCTCAATCGTTAACATCCAGTACTTTATCTTTAGTTTCATTTTCCTACTAAAGAATAAATTGTAGCCTTTGATGTTAGTGTGCTAGTAAAGTTTCAGTCTTGATATGGGACAAATTACGAATAAAAACTGTAAAAAAACCGACTTCCAGGCACTAAAATGTAAAATATAACTAAACGTGGGTTTTCAATTAGAATAGATACCTAATCATATATTTTTGAAGTCGGTAGCTTCCCCGTGCGTTCGATAGCACGTAAAACTGTCGGTCCTGTGTTTGGTCTTCCTCCATTCGTGTAGGTTTATCGTTACACTAGACTAAGAGTGTGAATGAAAATGATACAGAGCCTTTTTATGTTAGAGCGAGCACGTGTACACTGTTCGCAGTTGGATTGACTGCAGTGAACGTAATACAGGTAAGATTTTTATTTATTTTTATATTACTTCCATCAGATTGGAATTACATCATTTGGCTCCAGCCGTGGCTGCCAGGTCGGCCTACCCGCCGCCTACGCTCGTGTCACCTCCTTCAATGCATGGATCCGTGCCCGTCTGTAAATAATATTTAAAAAAAAATAAACACCTATAATAATTTTTTTTCATTAAATCTACGGTTCATACTAAGGTTTATTCGCTATGTTTTTATTTTTATCCATACTAATATTATAAATGTGAAAGTGTTTGTTTGTTTGTCCTTTTTTCACGTCGAATCGGAGTGACGGAATGGCGTGATCTTTTGTGTGGAGATAGTTGGAGGGCTGGAGAGTGACATAGGCTACTTTTTACCGCGGGAGATTATCTCAGTCCCACGGGAAAATACGTTATAATACTAATAAACGGCAAATTTCAATTTTCTAGATCATCTGTTTTAGTAAGTCTAAGACCCACAGACATACGTCCGTGCCGTTTTTGAGCATTTTTATATTTTGTTGTTATTTTTATTTTATTTGAGAAGGATTCTGGAAGTGGGTTAGATTTTAATCTATATGTCAGTCAGTCCGTGATAAAAATGGCGATTTTCAGACGTTAATATCTCAATAACCATTTGAGCTGTATTTATGAAATTTGGGGTTCTAGTTAATGTAAATGAATTTTATAAATGAACCAAATTTCATGTGTTTATGTTTAATAGATTTTGAGTTATTAAGAGGTCAAAAGTGGCTTCAAATGGTTCGTGTAATATAACACACGGCTGCTGAGTCGCCAGTTCTTTTAGCTTGCTGTGTGTTAATGTCCCAACATATTTATTATTATTATTCTCGTAATTTTATGTATATTTTAATTATTGAATTATTGCATGCTGTAAGGCTGAATTTGGCTGAACATTAAATATATTATTATCAAAATCTAAACGTATATACTAACCCAAGTTCGTAACAAAGTGGTTGATTTGATTTATATTACCTACCAGAAGCTTCTACAAAAACTAGTATGGATACAAATCTATATATGATAAATTCTAACCGAGTGAAATCTGTACATTAAATATTTTTTGGAAAATCTTATTGAAATAGACATTATTATCGATATACTTGTTATATAGTTTTTAGAATTTTTATTTGTCTGCCTGGGATATATATGGGAATACGCATATTGAGAAAACCACTGGACAGTTTGATGAAATTTGGTATGATGATAGCTGGTTATCCGGGTCAACATATAGGATACTTTTTGCTGCGGGAAAATATCTTATCTCTGAGAAATATATACTAAACGTTGAAACGTAACTAGGGACGAACCCGAGTGAAGTGAGAGTAAGTCGCTAGTAAATAAATAAAAACAAATATATAATTTACAATACTTTTATTGCTTGAACCACTTAGCAATTATTTTTAAAACATTTTTTGCTGCAATTTCAAAAAACCTAACTCCATTTAAATATAGAAACAAAAATGCTTATATATTTTTATGGACTCTCCTTATACAATTTCTACTTGAAAAGTGTCAACTCAAAATAAACACGTTATTATTATAATAAATAATAATAATATAAAGAGAAAAAAAATGTACGTTTGTTTGTAATGCATAAACTAAAAATCCGCTGAACCGATTTAAATGAAACTTGGTATGAAGATACATTGCATAATTGTTATCTCGGAAATCATCCTTTAAGGGGAGGAAAAGGAGGATAAAAGTTTGTATGGGGAATCAATCATTTCTCAAGTAAAGGATATAAAACTCATCATACTTATGTATGTATGTGTATATATATATATATATATATATATATATATATATATATATATATATATATATATGACGTGTTATCCATATACTACGAACATCATCTTTGGTGGTTACTCATCTTGTGGGCGTTATCAGGGCTCAAATAATAAAGTATTCAATGCTCAATACACAATTTAATCAGGGAAATCACAATGTTATAAACTGGAAACGGTATTTCTAATGATTTAGAGCTAGCGGGTTCACAGTCACCGATCATCGACTTCCAACTACAATATCAAACATAACTCTCTATGATTTACCATGATCAACCAACGTTACTAAGCCACGTATCTCCAACGAATGTCGTGATGGCGTCTCGACCCCGCTCGAGACTAAATCTCTGCTCTAAATTCAAAATCAATTTAAAAGCAATAAAAAGTAAATTAAAGAACATAGTGACTTTAAACAATAATAAGGTTTCATAACAGAAAAAGGTAACTAAATCCTCCTCCGTCATATATATATAATATACAGTCTATCTATTCTTTACTACGTACCTAGGGACGAACCTGAGCGAAGCCAGGTTGAGTCGCTAGTATGTTATAATTATGAATAACAACTCTAATAAATATTATTCTAATATTGCTATGAAGTGTTTTAGTAATTATAATTAATAAACTATACAAAAAAACTTACTTTACACTCATAAAATGAAAATTTGTATGGATCATACAAATTCTGATATAAATAGCAAATACAGATTCAACGGAAATTACAAAAAAAATATTGAATATCCTCTATTTTTTTTTGGTTTGGCATAAATATGCTTAAAGTTTTCAAGATGGTTTTTTTTTCAAATCAATCAATTAAACTAATTTAGTTCTAAATTCTGCTTCCTTAAATTATCTATAATCATTTTTCTTTTTTCATGCTCTTTTTTACTTATTAATATTCTTCTCTTGAAATTAGTATTAGTTTTCATTTTTCTAGTTTTCATTTCCTTCTTTTCCATTTCATTTCTTACCGGAAAATGAATACCGAATTCCGAACGATTTTCCAAATCGGAAAAATCATTGACATTGTCTCGCGACATTTTGTTGAAAATTTTTAGAAACTGCCAAAATTCTATGTCGCCGCCTTTAATATTTTTCTTGTAAAACTCCATCAATTCGTCATCACACTTGTGTTTGCTCACAATCGGCTTAGGATCTTCATATCTATTTTTTCCGATCTGTTTCTTCTTTTTCACTTCTTTTTCATGTTCACCGAGTTTATGTTTCCATACTTTTTTCTTAAACGGTTTGGGATTTTCCTCATGTTTACGCGTATGAAGTTTCAAAGCACTTAGAGTTTGGCAAATCTTCTCGCATTTATCACACGGAAATACAATTTCCCGCCCATTTCTTTTGGCTAAACGATACAAAATTTTCAATCTACCCACATGATCATCTGTATCGATTTTGATTGGACCGACGCCTTGTAACACGGTCTTTGGCAGCAAAAACCTATCAATTCGAGTGTCAAATTCATTTTCAATCACCCACTCTCCATTCTTCTTAACTAACTTCTTTTTTATCAACCCTCTCTTTTTATCTTCTCTTTTATTTCTATCTAACTTCTCGTATGCGTGTTTATTCAGAATTTTCACACTGGGAATGACTTGTATATTATCGATTTTATTTTTCATATCGTAATAAAAAGTTCCCTCATCGTTTTTGAGTGTACCTTGAGTTTTCACTTTTATTTTGTGTATTGAGAGCATGTGCCTCTTTAAATTAAGTTTTGTGACAAAATCACAGAGGGGACATTTTTTTAATAAATCAGTATTACACACGTCGAAATGTTGATGACAGTGGCCTATTAGTTGGTCTCGCGTTTCGTATAACTGTAATGGGATACAAATAATAAATAAATATGAATGTATATTAATACAAAACACCATCTAATTCCATGGTGAGCTACGAGGCTTGTGTTATGGATACCAGATAGCTGATACACTACACATATATAACTTTAAATACATACATAATATAAATATAAACACCTATAACTGGAGTACAAACGTCCATGTTCATTACACAAATGGACGCCCGCCCCCCAGCGGGACTCGAACCCGGGACCGCTAGCACAGCATATAGTGCAACTACAAACTGAGCCAAACGTGTCGAATGAAACTACTATTATAAAGCGAATGTGTATATTACTCTTTCTAATCGGCGTGACAGATTTAGATTAAACTTAGTAAAGATACAGATTAAGACATTGACTAACTTTTACTGTATGGAACACAGGGATAAGTCGTTACCTGTTAATATTTTTTCTACATAAAAAGTTTTTATTTAAAATCACAGATAAACGTTTATTTACTTCATAACTAATTCAAAATAAAATGAATAAATTAAAAAAATATATTTTTTTTAATATTAAATCCATTCAGCAATCCTATATTATGCATTCTTTATTAATTTTTATTACGTTATTATCTACCTATATATATAAATATATATATATATATATATATATATATATATATATATATATAGATTCTAATAAATCTCATACAATGAATATATTATTTTTTTCACAACAAAGGAGATTAGTTAATACATCACTACATAAGAATAGAAATTTTAAAAATATAGCTCAATTGGTACACTTTAAAGCCAAAAAAAAAACAAATAAAATTGAATTGAATTAAAAAATATAACATATTATTATTCTATAAACATAACATATTTTTTTTTTCATTTAAATACAACTTTATAAAATATCGATTCTTCAACGATTGTAGAATGACATCTCTTATTATCTCAATATTGAGTTACAACGTTATTCCTTGCAACTATAAAAAAAACGTGTGTGTGTGTACGTTACGTACGCACGTAAGAAGTTATACTTCATTGGCTTAACAGAACAAAAATAGCTAAAGATTTCATCCCGTATGTCACAACTCTCTGTTTGTAAAAGGAGAGCAGCTAACTTCATCGTGTTGCTTTTTGGCTGTCGGTATGCGCGCTCATCGTAAAAATTTTTCGCTTCATAATTCTTCCATATGTGCCAAAAGAAGTATAACTTCAAAAAAAAAATCTCACCTTGAAACAAACATAACATTGATGCATATTTAACTTTAATTTACTGTCTTGTTTGTTCTTATTATTTCTTTCATTAATATTATTAACATCATTGTTTTCATTTTCATTAGTTTCATTTGTTTTTTTAATTTCAACTAAATTTTCATGACTTTTATCATCATTTTCATTAATACTATTAATTTCGACGTTCCCATCATCAATATATTTTAGTGTATTGTTTAAATCAAGTGCATTATCATTTTGTGTTATATCATCAGTTTTCTGATTCTTATCATTTTTTTCATTTATATTGCTATTAGTTTCATTATTTTCATAATGACTCTTATCATTAGGAAAATTATTTGAAGAAATTACGTCATTATCTTCATCGTTTAGATTAGATTCTGTCATTACACTATTTTTATTAATAATATTATTTTTAATAAATTTAATTTTAGTATTAACTGGAAATAAATAAAACATAATTATTAAAATTTATACACACATATATAAATTGATGTGTTACTTTTATATATAATAAATAATTATATATATAAAATATTTTATTCAATTTAAATATAATTATATTTTCGGATTATTTTGCGAGTTCGAACACTTGACACTGTCTGTAACAACTATAATATAATGCTTTTGAGACGTCTAAAACCTTAGTTGCACTGTAAAGCATCCGAAACGTCGGGAAACAATCTGCATAAATCACGAAAATTCGAAAGAGACATGAGATATTTTCCCGCAGTAAAAAGTATATGTTATCCTATATGTTGACCCGGATAACCAGCTATCACCATACCAAATTTCATCAAAATTCCTCCAGTGGTTTTTCCGTAATGTGGTAACAGACATAAAGACAGACAGACAGAAAAAAATCTAAAAACTATACATTCGCCTCTGTATCGATAATAATATCTATTTCAATAAGATTTTCCAATTTAATGTACAGATTCGGCTTCGTTACAATTTTATTATATGTATAGATGTCGAATATTCGCGTAAATCTAAGAAAGTATTGTTTTAGTCAAACTTAATCAAATAGACAAACAAAATAAACTATTACATTTTCTAAGCCCAACTCTCTTTAATCTCCTGTTGTATTCTCTTCTCGTCTTCTCCAACTCTCTCATCTCCCTTTTAAGTCTTTTATCGCAGATCATTTTCTTCAAACATTCATTTGCTTCTTTTTGACATTTTATATCTATTTTTATGTTATTATCTTTTTCTGCAAAAATCACAAAAGTTAGGTTTATTATTTTATATTTATATTACTTTCAAATATTAAAACTTTAAAAATAAAAAAGGACACTTTTAAAAATTATAATTTTTTCGACATTTTTCGCGGTTTTATTTTGATTTTTTTCTGCTCTTGACGTTTTAAATGTAAATTATTATTTTTTAATTTAGAAAAAATATTAAAAAATATCTTCTCTTCTAAATCATTGTATAATTTTGTGGACTGTTTGTGACAACTATATAATGAATGAACGTCAAGACATGTAACAAACACCTCAGTCTACCTTGACCATGTTTGCTGTAAAGCATTCAAAACGTCGGGAACCAAAAATCAAAATAAATCCGCGAAAATATCCGAAAAGATTCCTACTTTTATTTAAAATATCAAATATTCTTGTAATTTACGAAAATTAATTTAAAGATACAATTACAATTATAATGGTTTTTTTTAATTTTATCTTTAATAACTATTATAATACCTTTTACGATAGTAGATCCCGGCCGTATAATTTGTTTTATGTAAAAATCATCGAAATTATTCGGTGCTTTATTTCCCGCCCTCTTAGAACTGTCATTTGACACATCTTTTATATTATCTGTGGATAGTTCTGCTTCGGAATCTAAAAAAAAAGAAATATAGACATACACTGCTTTAATTTTTAATCGATTTTATAAGGAGGAAGCAAATGGGGGCAAAATCCGCTTATAACGGTGGTATTAGTTTTATGTTTCTGTTCTATTTATACAGATAGCTAAATTCAGTCCTTTATATAGCATGCTGTTACTTATTTTTTTTTAAATATACCAATTATTATTATTTTTTGTATAATAAACATTAAAATCATAATATTAATTTGTTAATATATATATATATATATATATATATATATATATATATATATATATATATATATATATCATATTACATGTTTAATTTTCTTTTAAATATCCTAATAAATGTTTTTTTTTTTCGTGTTTGTTGTTTGTACCTATACCTCACCCTCATTATTATTATTTTTTACTCACGCTCGAGAGTTTCTGGTAGAGATCTCTTAAAGAGATAAGACAACCTTTGTACACATGTACACACTTTCTCTTTTATATGTATTTATGAAGTTATACTTCTTTTGGCACGTTTGGAAAAAATATGAGAGTAAAATTTTTACGATGCGCGCGCACACCGACAGCCAAAAGGCGACATGATGAAGTTAGCCGCATCTCTTTTACAAACAGAGACTTGTGACATACGGGATGAAATCTTTAGCTATTTTTGTTCTGTTACGCCAAAGAAGTATAACTTCTTACGTGCGTATAAGTACACACACACGTTATTTTTTTGTAAATAAATAAATAAATATTTATGTATCGTATCTAACATTACCAAAACTCTCACCACTCTTGGGTTCAATCTTCACTTCGTGCAACATTTCTATCTCCGTATACTCACTCGGTTCTTCTTTAATTATTATTTCACGTTTTTTCGGTTTTCTGCAAATAAACATTGCCATTTTACACGAAATTAAAAAAAAATGATTTTTTGTTTCCATCGTTATTGTATGTTAATCGATTTTGTTGTAGATTGGTAATCGATTTTTTTAATATATACTTTGTGGGTTCAGGATAAAAATAATAATATTGAAATAAAACTACGTAATAGATGTCGTTGATTCGCAATAGTTAAACTGTTTAATTTTATAAATATCTGCAAACTAAAATGGTAAATATTGTAAAATTCATCCTGCATTTGAATAAAAAAAAATCTGTGATTTAAAAAAAAACCGTGATAAACAAATAATAAAAAGTACAAGCGCCATCTGTGGTTATACACTACAAACCCATCATCTGATTGCTGATATTTTAATAATCAGTAAAAACGCAAATTTTCACACTTTCACTTCACTTAGAATATTTTTTAAACAATAATAATACCTTTTTGGGATCTATGTTTTTTTCATCTTTTGGTAATTTAACACAACTTCAATAACAAATCGATGCATGTAACATCTCCTATTGACATTTGTTTGAAATAATTTTTATTTGTTCGTGATGAGAACCCCATGGTAATACTTATTTATATAAAACTGCCTCGGTGGTGTAGTGGCTAGCATGTACGGCTTCACACCCGGAGGTCCTGGGTTCGAGTCCCGGGTCGGGCCAAGTTTAGTTATTGAGTCTTCCTGTATAGTAAGTCTCAGTAACAGCCCGGAGTTGGGAAGTTGGCGGTGTTTCACCCCCGTGCCTCGGAGAGCACGTAAAGCCGTCGGTCCTGCGCCGACACTCTCACCGGTCGTGTCGAGTGGTCGTCCCACCGGAGTATGAGAGTGATAGGAATAGAGAGTGCACTTGTGTCTGCGCGTACACTTGAGCACTATAATATCTCCTGCGCAGTTGGCTAATCTCATTGAGATTGGCCGCCGTGGCCGGAATCGGCTAGGAGAACATCATCATCAATACTTATTTACAATATACATCAGTATTACGGTACTAAAACACACTCACGGCTGTCTGACGGTCATGTTGTACCTCACGCAGTGACACTTCCAATAGTGAAGCTTCAGATATATATGCTTTTTGTAAGTTTTATTGCAAATCTTACATTGTCTGTCCTGAAATTAAAGTATAATCTACATAAACAGCCTGTATTCGCAAAAAAAAGAAGAAAAATGAGCAATATTTATTTTGTAGATTAAATAATAATTATAATCTGTTTTGTTAAATTTAATTTATAAAAAATGACAAGAATTGTTAATAATAAATACTTAAATATGTTAACACCTTAACCCACTCAGCACCCAGTTTCATGGTAAGCTACGAGGCTTATGTTATGGATACCAGATAGTTGATACACATACACATATATAACTTTAAATACATACATATTATAAATATAAACACCCATGACTGGAGTAAAAACATTCGTGCTTATCACACAAATGAATGCCCTCAACGGAACTCGAACCCGCGACCGCTGGCACAGCAAGTAGTCTCTACAAACTGAGCCAAACCTGTCGTCAGATCTAGTATTACTTACCAATTCAGAATCATGTCCAGACTTGATGTGCATGACCAGACTGGGCTTGTTGTAAGTGCAGAACCCGCACGCGTCGCACGCGTACGCTTGCTTCAACAAATGTTTCTTTTTGATATGGGACATCAGATAGTTTTTGTTGTAGAAACTGAAAATAATACGTATTTTTGATGTTTTTAACCGACTTGAAAAAAAGATGTATCTAATTTGGTTGAATAGACTATAAAAGATATTTTTTAAATTTGATAAAATATTCTTGTTTAACGGCTTCAAAGTGTGCCAATTGAACACAGATTATTTCGCGAACGGATATTTTTTTAGATTTTTTTCTGATGACTCCTGACGTTTCATTTTTGACATATAATAAAATTTTGAAATATCTTGGCTATATAACAACCAGCCCCCTTCCCTATAAAAGTTTAGCTTCGCGAATGATTTTAAACCAAATAATGATGTTTTTTCTGAACTAATGTTCTGTCTCGGACGATCCTGATTATGTCAAACAAAAAAATAATCTAGCTTTAAAGACATTATTTCTAAGAACTATATGACTTTTGAAACTTCAAAACTTTTCAAAATTCAAAAATCTCAGTCTCTTCCGTGACCATGATTGGTGTAAAGCATTCGAAACGTCGGGAACCAAAAATCAAAATAAATCCAAGAAAAAAATCCGAAAATATAATTTTATTTAAAATACCAAACATTCAGGACGGGGGGGGGGGGGGGTCAGTGGGAGCTGTCGGTTGGGGGGGGGGGTTAGAATGGATAGTGGATGCCCCCTTAGAACAACTCACCTCGTCCCACAATAATCGCAAGTCACGCATTTAGTTTTCAATCTGTGCTGTTTTTTATGTAAATTCAAACGAGTCACTCTCGTAAACTTTTTATTGCATATCTTACATTCGAACTGCTTTTCTGGATAATGGACTAGAATATGCTTTTTGAGGGTACCCTGAAAAAAAAATTCTTATAATCTATACTAATACTAATATACTAAAAATATTATAAAGAGGTAAAGTTTGTGAGTTTGTGACGTTGTAGGGAGTAATCTCTGGATCTACAGAACCGATTTAGATGACATTTGGTAAGAAGATAGTTTAAGACCCTGGAAAAGACATAGGATACTTTTTATCCCGGAAATCATCCCTTAAGGGGGTGAAAATGGGGATGATAGTATGTATTGAGAAGCAAGGTAGGGACGAACCCGAGCGAAGCGAGGGTTTAATATACTCACGTTAAAAAAATCACACCAACATCGTTCAATCGTTTAGGGGTTACGAGGAAACATAGGTGGCACAGATAAACATACAAACATACATCGTGTGGGATTTAGGATTTACCAGCAATAGAAGAACGTAACACCTCTTACGTTTATTCATTTTTTTTAACTTTTAACGTCATTACATATTTAAAACTAAAACTTTCTTGTTCCACAATCAACATGGCCGAGCACACTCTATCCCTTTCACTCATTATTTATTTCATTCACACTTTCCACGTTAGTCATAATAGCTTTCATTTCATTGTTGTTAGTTTTAACAATTGTTTAATTTATGCACATTCATCCCACATACATACAGGTCAAACACATAACCCTCATTTTGAACCGCAGTCGGGCTAAAATACTTACTTTTTCCTTAAACCTCTTCGTACATCCGTCAAAGTTACATCGAAACGGTTTAAAATCCACATGTTTAGTTAAATGCGTCGCCAAATTGTATTTATTGCTGATCGTCACGCCGCACACCTCGCACTTACACGCGTATATCTTTTTGTGGACTATTTTCTGAAAAAGAGATGGAAAGAGAGTGAGAGAAAGAGAAAAAAAATTTAATGTACTTAATACAATCATATTTCGTATAATTGCTAGTGTTTGTGCGCGTGTGCGTGCGTGTATTTGATACTCCTTCACATTGAAACAACTAAACATATTTGAGAAAGAATACACACGTTTTAACGTTTACTATAGATTTTTCAGAGATGAAATATTTTCCCGCAGTCAAAAGTATGCTATATGTTGACCCGGATAACCAGCTGTCATCATACCAAATTTCATGAAAATGCCTGCAGTGGTTTTTCCGTGATGCGTTCCCAGACAGATAGACAGACAAAAAAATCTAAAAACTATAGATTCGGCCTCTATATTGATAACGAAGACTATTTCAATAAGATTTTCCAAAAAATATTTAATGTACAGATTCGATTCAGTTAAAATTTTATTATATATATATATATATATATATATATATATATATATATATATATATATATATATATATATATATATATATATTTGTTGCGATTGCTATACATATATTGTTCAAAGTAATTAACAAAAATCTAAAGAACAAACAAACTAATCAACTCACAATATGTACATTCAAAGCGGTGTTAGATTTGAACATCTTGCCGCACTCCTCGCACCGCGTGTTCTTTACGTGTATATCCAAATGCACTTCTGTTACGTGCATTTTGAGCAAACTTTTTGTATTGTAGCTGGAATTATTGGGTATAATAAGTAAAGTTAAATCTATACTAATATTATAAAGAGGAAAGATTTTTTTGTTTGTTTGTACCGAATAGGCTCCGAAACTACTGAACCGATTTAGATGTGGTAAGAAGATAATTTGAGACCCTGGGAAGGACATTTTTTATCCCGGAACTCATCCCTTAAGGGGGTAAAAATGGGGATGAAAGTTTGTATAGGGAAGCAACCTCGCTAGTCTTAACATAAAGAAACTAGTCCAGTAGCCATACATTAACCCTTCTTTCGGGCCTCGTCGCAGTCGGTTAAAAGTGAAAAAGTGAAAGGAACACAAACCTTTTCTCACACAATCGACACTGGTATCGTTTCTTCATCCCCATGTGCCTTTCATGGTGTTTCCTCAACGTAGACGTGTCTCTGCACGCGTAGTCACAGAACTCACATTTAAACGGCTTAGCATCTATAATAATAAAAAAACTTTATAAGTCAAAACATATTGCAATAATCGTTGATGAAAATCAAAAGCGAAGTAAACAACAGATAATGCTTCAAAATACTTATTTTAGGTATGAACGATCAATAAATAAGTATCTTTGAGCCTATAGAAAAACTTAAGCAAACTTGCCAATAGATGGTGTTATATGTCTGGATTTGTTGCTTTTTTTTTGTTATATCACATTAAATTTTCTATTTCATCCATTTCAATTGGTTTTAGTAAAAAGTATTTCTCCATTTTATTATATTTTACATGGTTTAGTGGTCAATTTTTATTTAATAAAATAGTTAGGCAGCTTTTGTGTAAGCGCCATCTATCGTTTTTTCACGCAAAACAAAAACACTAAGTTAGAGCCGTCAAATTCCTTTGTATAGGATGGGTTATCTATCCTAGTTTTAACTATAGTAGATGTCATCTGTGACAATTATAATTGTTGAAATACACGTACATACATCTTAGAAACAAAACATCAGAAAATTGTTGTAAATAATTATTTATTATCGTTCTACTCTATATGTATATTGGAAACAGATTAAAATAAATGTTATTCTCTTAGATTAACGCAAGTACATCTATACTAATATAAAGAGGAAAGATTTATTTTTTGTTTGTTTGTTTGTACCGAATAGGCTAAGAAAAACCTGAACCGATTTAGATGAAATTTGGTAAGAAGACAGTTTGAAACCCTGGGAAGAACATAGGATAGTTTTTATCCTGGAAATCATTCCTTCAGATGGTAAAAATGAGGATGAAAGTTTTTATGGGAAAGCAACCTCTAGTTTTAAAGAAAACTATATTTTCGAACTTTTCCGCGGATTTATTTTGATTTTTAGTCCCCGATGTTTCGAATGAATATTTGAAATAAAAAAAATGTCCAACATAAAAACCTATGCAGTCATACGCCATTTATCGCTATACCAGAATACTTATTACCAATAATAAATAAATGAAAATTCATTACGAGTAATAAAATAATAGAAAAGGCATGTTTAGTTACGCTTAATTTACTTTTATCACAACACTAGTTATGTTCAATTGGAATGCTTTTGTATTTTGTTAATTGTAGAATATAACACAATATTTTTTTTTAAATGTCACCTTCAAGACATTGCTGAGGTATATAATATCTTTACTAGCAATGTCTTTTAGATTTTTTTAAGGTCCCAATGCTGGGCACGGCATCCCTTCAAGACGAGTGGGATCAGGCCATAGTCCACGGCGCTGGACAAATGCGAGACGGATTTCATATGTCTTTCGAAAAAGTGCTATATTCTCTCAGTTACGCAAGTTTCCTCACAAATTTTCACTTCACCGTAATGCAAGCAATGTATTGTAAATACCATTCATACATAAGAATAAGACACACTAACAGACTAACACTTTCATTTATACTTAACAGTATGGTTCTTCTAATAACAAACTTTGAAAATTAAACCATTATAATTAATAAGTATTTCCTTAGTATATAACGAACATTTGTACAGATCTCAACAATGTCGTATCACTCCCAAAGTTTATAGTCAAGATATTTTTAAAAGTGGACATATTTAAAGCTTTAATGCTTTTTTTTCTAATGTTGGTCAACATGGTGGAGAGTAGGGTGTTCTGTCAGGACTCGCACGCTATGAGGTGGACGCCTCGTGGTTACTCTTGTCCGGTAATGTGTGAAAATGTTCGAAATGCTATAGAGAGGTAAGAAGGAAAATAAATATGGTCTCCAGAATTGCTTGAAAATTATCTTCTGTTCAGGTAGATTTTATATGACATTCGCGCTATCAAGACGAATCTGGCGTCGAGTGATTCATCAAAATCGGTTTCGCCGTTTAGTGTCACCAGCGTGGTGGACTACGGCCTGATCCTCCTCGTATTGACGGGAGGCCCACGCCCAGCAGTGGGACGTTAAAAAGGGCTGAATACATACAATATATACAATTTGGTGGAGACTATGGTGTTCACGGTTTCAAAGTGAAAAGTTTTTAAAGTGATTTTTTTTTTATAATCTTTATTGCTTTTGAATTAAGCCTATATCAATATTTTTTAATGTAATTTCCTTTTGATTAAAAAAATAATTATTAAAAAGTGCAAATATAGGTGGGAAATTCAAAGCAGTTGTTTCAACTGCTTTTGACCAATGGCGTGCGTTTCGCACGCTATTGGTCAGGCCGAATATGACGTTAAAGTATTATCATAACCAACAGAGCGATCAGCAACTTTGTCGCGACAAATTGAGTTATCGTGTCTCTGTGTATCATACTGTGACGTCACGCCAAGCGCGCCAAATAACGAGCGTTTAAACTTTTTAAGTATCCGTATACGTATGATATGTTTTATTTACACTAAAGTTTTTTTGGAGCTGGATATTTTTTTACTGTTATATAAAAATTAAAGATGTTAGGTATTGTATAAAAAAAATAATCACGCATATTCTATTGTTTCTATATTATTTTCTGAATTTCCCTGTTTTGTAGTTGCTAGCATCGTAAACCATACTTCCTAGTTTCTTTATAATGATATACATGTGATAGCTATTTTTCAAGATAACTGGTAAGTTAAGACGACAACGCGTTCTGGCAATGACATGAAGTCATAATGCGTTTAAAATATCTTTATAAATAAAAAAGATATGTTGTTTGTTGATACAACACTTGGTCGATTTGAATGGCTGATTTTTTTTAAATAGCCCGAAAAGGGTTTTTAAAAAACAATTTGGAGAATTTGCTCCAATATATTCTAATATATTCTGGAAAAACTGAAATTTCTTTTTCTGAATGTTTTTTTTTATTAACTTGAAACATCACCAAAAAGAATAGTAATTTGAACAGGAAGTCATATCAGTCGGATCAGCTAATTCATAAATACATTGGATATGAGATATTATATATAAAATAATCATACGATAGTGGTAGCCCAGGGCAACCAAGCTTGGGAAACCGAGTAAGCGGGTTCAAATCCCGGTAATCGTACCTTTAATATTCTCATGTGCAAATAATTTCCAACATGATCACCACTTGTCTCACGATGAAGGAAAACCACATGAGGAAACTAGCAAGTTTTCGAAAGTGAAAGAAACGTGAAATACACCCGCACTTGCGCGGTGGACTATGGCCTGATGCCCTTCTTACTGAAGAGAAATATATGCCCAGCAGTGGGATGTTAAAAATCGATAAATATGTACATTTATACATACATATCTATACATATAATAAAATTGTAACTAAGAAGAATCTGAACATTAAATATTTTTTGGAAAATTTTATTGAAATAAACATTATTATCGACACAGAGGTCGAATCTAGTTTTTAGAATTTTTGTCTGGTCAACATATAGGATACTTTTTACCGCGGGAAAACGTCCCAATTCTGAGAAAAAATACAAAAACTGCAATGTAAGAGTATACTAATATGTAAAACCTAAGAATTTAGTTTTTGGTCATCTGAACGCGGGGGCAGCCGCGGGTACTGCTAGTTACATATAAATTTATTATTGTATTTTAGACTGATATTGTTAGACTACAAGAAAACAGTAGAAGAACAGTTCGGAAACCAGGACGTAAGCATTCTAATGATGAGTGACGACGCTTTAACCGACGATAGAATGTTGAAAAATAATAAGTACAACAATTTGAGAAAGCCCATCGATAACTCCATAAATGAAGTGGAGATAGAGGCAAATAGAGTTGACAATGCCTTCGAAAATACCATGAACCCTTTCATACATGTGATTGTCCAAAATCTGCGACACGTCAAAGGGATTTCACGTCGCAGTGATTCTGACGCTGGCGTTACAACTGAAAGTTCTGATACATCAAACAAATGTTGGTTTTTAGAGGATTTCCAACCCAAACTTCTTCTGGGCAAAATCGTGCGTAAAAAATGCACGAGAAAGTCCAATTTTGATGGCAGATTTTTAACAATAATGACCGACATTTTGAATAGATACGCAAATACACTGTTCAAGTTCACAGAAGAAATGACAGAGGTTTGTAACATTTTAATTTTTTTGACTAGCGACTTAACCTCGCTTCGTTTAGTTGCGTAGAACGTTTTTAAATTGTTTGAGCGGAACCATAATTCTGTTTCTAAAATAAAATTATCCTATTTTACTCCTTATAACATCAGCTATCTGCCAGTGAAAGTTCTATCAAAATCAGTCCAGTCGATTCAGAGATTAGCCAAAAAAAATTGTATTTTTCTTATATGTACCGTATATAATTTCACATGCATTTAGTAAAAAGCTGTTACTTTGACATTACACACAGACACGCCAATTTTATTTATCTGTATAGATTAAACAAATCACTGCAGTGAAAGTGTTCTTTTTACCATTTATTAATAACCCGTGACTTAGCCTAGCTTCGGTGGTTCGTCCTAGAATGCCTAACAGTAACCTATACTCTAGCTCATAATCTATCTGTATACTACATTTTCATCAAAATCGATCCAGTTTTTCAATGTGAATTTAAATTTTCAATCAATAAGCAGATGATCATAAATTTTAGAATATAGACACGGGCTTTTTGGAATGTCAATTTATTTATTTTCATATAGTTTAAATAAGCTAATAAAACCCCCCAGATACATTTTATTTTAATAGTAAAAAAATATTTAAAAAAAATATTAATTGATATTTAAAAAAAAAACAAAAAAGTAACACTTTGAGGGTAAAACTACAATCGAATCAAAACCGTTACACGGATTTTTAACAAGACCATTACTAATGTAAATCTTACCTTCTAGATACTTCTAGAAAGTATATTCGGCAAAGACAGAGACCTACGCAACAATATATTTGACGTGAACAAGTTATTGAAGTTCTTGAGAAATTCCTTAAACGTACACAAAAACCATACTAACAACGAAATAATATTAAAGTCAAAACATTGTATGTCCATTCCTTTGCCAGGATGTTATTGTAAGAGCGGGTGAGACCTTTCAGTTATATCTCTATTTTTAACATACTTTCTTAGATTTTTAAGATCATCATAAGACTACTACCAAATGCAAAGGCAGTGGTAGTCTAGTGATAATGCGGTCGCTTGAGAAACATCTATGAGAGAACCTAGCAAGTTTTCGAAAGACATGCTCAGTCCGCCCGCACTTAGCCATCGTGGTGAACGATCACCCTCGCATTGAAGGGAGACCCACCCCAAGTTTACCACCAGATGCGAAAGAAAAAGCCCCTCCGTTCTTAGAAGAACTGGCGAAAGAAACTCAGCGGGACAAAAATCATTATTTTTAGAATTAAAAAAAGATACACGCAACAAACAAACACAAACACACACACCACACGCACACGCACACACACACACGCACACACGCACACACACCCACACACACACCCACACACACACACCCACACACACACACCCACACACACCCACCCACACACCCACACACAAAAATCTTGCATTTATAAAAGTAATTCTATTTGATATATAGCAACACAACATTATTATAAATAAAAACTTTTTAACAAAAAAATATAAACCGACTTCAAACAAAAGCACTAAAAAGTATAAAATAACTGATTCGTAGTTTTCATTTACTATACATACCTAATCAAATATTTTCGAAGTTGGCGTGCTTTGCTTTGTATGGGCTGGCACCGACTTCGAAAATATTTGATTAGGTATGTATTTAATAGGTAAGCTTTAATTGCTTAGCCAAAGCACACCGACTTCGAAAATATTTGATTAGGTATGTATAGTAAATGAAAACTACCAATCAGTTATTTTATACTTTTTAGTACTTTTGTTTGAAGTCGGTTTTTATTTTTTTGTTAAAAAGTTTTTATTTTTCCCTTTTAAGTGTAGACAGTAGTAGCATAGTATGGATTCTAACGTGTTAGGCTTGTCAAATCAAACAAAATAAGCCCAAACTCAAAGTATCTACTATTAGCCGTTGAAGAGTTCCACCTATCCACCTTCTGGCCTTGGCATCAGATCAGGTCAACAACACCGAACCACTGTACTATCAACGGAAATAGAAATACTTGCAAAGTTTCAAGTCAATATGACAATTAGAAGTAGGTTAAATTCATCATTTGTTGTTTTTCCACCCTTAGGGGTGGTATTTTTTTTTAATTTAAATGGGACCAATCTGGAAGTATACCCTTTCAAAAAAAACAATAATTGTCCAAATCGGTTAATAAATGACGGAGTTCTGAGGTAACAAACATAAAAAAAAAACATACAGTCGAATTGAGAACCTCCTCCTTTTTGAAGTCGGTTGAAAATATAATTTATATTTGCATTCCAGATATGTAGAAAGTGTCGGCCAATGCGTAGCGCCATCTGACTGTGTCAAGAGCGAGTACTACATGCGGTATTTATCCAGAATAGTAGTGGATTGAAAACCATAGTGTACGTACATCGATCAAAAATATACTAGATACACAATCAGACACAAAAAATGTCCTCACCGAATGAGCGCATATTTGAACATTTGAAACTTCTATAGGCAGGTTTGTTTGTATGGGGAGTAAATTCATGTAAGTCGCCATCGACATGGTCACGTGACGTGTTAACGCTAACACTCAGAGCGCCGATAGATGTCGACACCAGATAAATTGTTTTAATTTACAATGTTTTATTTAAAATCAAACAATTATTTTAATATCAAAAAATAACGACTGTTTGTTTATTAAATTAATATATATAATTTAAAGTTTTCACTTCGGTCGGCAGTCCTCATGACTACTTTTTTTTGGTGAAAACAACTTTTAAGCATTGCATTTAAGGTTCAATTTACATTGTTGTATATTTATTACAAATACACACACAATTGGTGACAGTTTTAAGAGATCTTTTGCATGGGATTGTGTATCTAGGACTTTTTTGATTGAGATGCACGAAAAAATGTAAGAAAAAAACATTCATAAAAAACAAAAACAATGAAAGGCACATTAGAGACACAAGCATGTTAAAAAATATTTAGCAATTTTTTTTTAAAAAGCTTAAATAATAAATGTGTAACATTTTAATCAAAATTTAAAAAAAAGCTTTTTCTTTCCTATTTAAATAAATAATACTAGCAAAATCATTCCATAATGGAATATACTATATGGTAGCACTATCATTATATATATTTTTTTAATTTTTAATTACCAACCTCTTTTTACTATTTTTTTATATATTTATATGACGCACTTACCAGCATGTATATATTTATGTGTATTCAAAGTATAACTGGAGTTAAAGCCTTTTCCACAGATTTTACATTTAAAAGGTCTTTCATCTGAAAAAAAAGCTCAAATAAATTGTGCAAATAGACTATATCCTAAATAATATCTTTATTTAAAAAAAACGTGTGTGTGTACTTATGTACGCACATAAGAAATTATACTTCTCGTCACAACTCTCTGTTTGTAAAAGGAATGCAGCTAACTTCATCATGTCGCTTTTTGGCTGTCGAATGCGCGCATATCGTAAAAATTTTATTATTTATTAAAATTTTATCTCATAATCTCAAAAGAAGTATGACTTCAATAAAAAACTTTACCTGTATGTGTATACATGTGCTGTCTTAAAAGACTTTTGAAGTGAAACTTTCGTCCGCAGAAGCTACATTCATTCTCTGTTGCTTCATTGTGAACTCTTTTTATGTGTCGACCTAGATATTTCTTAGTTTTGAATGTATGTGGACATAAATGGCAGGTGAATGGTTTCTCGGAGGAATGGGTTAGATTGTGTTGGGTTAAGCCTGCTTTTTCCGAGAATGTCTGAAAAGAAAATGAAATATAAAAAAAAAACGATGATTTTGTAAGCTAAAAAGTTAAAACATTATGTATCTTGTTTATATTTGATTTAAAAAAGCAAAATAGATGTTGTGAATACAATTTATTAATATTAGAATGAATGGCTCACCCTCGCTTTTTTCGGGTTCGTCCCTAGGTATGTTTAACAGTTAGTATGGAATAGATAGACATGAAAGAAGGACTAACAAACAAACACCCTTTCACATTTACAATATTAGCATGGATTGTCCTTTGATGTAAATTCAGTATTAAAGAAAGTTTAGCAAATATTAATTTACAAGCTTTTCTTACAGCTATGTATATAAATATAATATTTTAATGTTTTTTATTACATTCCAAAAAGTAAGTTAGTCTACATTCGTAGTTAAAATAATAATATGAAGCATACCTTCTTGCATATTGTACATTTAAAATCTGTGAACTTCTTCTTAATAGATTTCCGAGCAGAGTTTGCACCTTTAGTTCCAGCCATTATAATACATTTTTTTCACATTATTCTGTAAAATAATTATTAAAAAATGCTTATTTCTTTTTGAATCTTTTTAATTTTAATTAAATCACATCACTAAATTTTGAAATTTCTCTATAAATTCTAAATATTTTTTTTTATCTAATAATGTTAGAATATACCTACATATCTAAAAAATCAAACAAACAACAATCTTGTGAATTAATTTAATTAAAATAAAAAGTGTTTATAGTTTTAATGATATTTGTTTTTTCTTCTCTAACAATAACTGCGATGTGATATATAGATATAAACACTTCGTATAGAGCAATTCTTCTATATTGTTAATATTAAGTACGCAAAAATTAGTTAGTTCATATTTAAATATTATTTTCGCAACTTACAAGTAGGTACCTACTTTATTTAAGTAGCAATTTATTCTATGATATTTACATAAAATTGACAGAATTAAGCAGCTGACTACAGGCTCAAAATGACTGAACTCGGCTTGTCAAAGTTAATTCGAATCGAGTTGTATTCGAGTAATTTTAATAATAAATCGAGTTAAAATTATAATAATTTTAATAACTCGAGTTTTCAATAAAACTATTTTTTCGCAGATTTATTTTGATTTTTGGCTCGAGATGTTTCGAATGCTTTACAACCTCAGTCTTTCCCGTGACCACAAAACTTAGTTAAATCGGATCAGTACTTTTTGCGTCAAATGCGAAAGACATAATATGTATATATTATATAAAGTTGAATAACTATGGTTTTGGTGTCTATATTCTGTACACAGTACATTGGTCATTATTTTTAAAAAATATTTCATGTACAGATTTCGCTAATTTACTATTTTATTGTATGTATAGATGTAAAAGGATGAAATAAAAACATCGAGAAGGCAAGAATGATTTAATAAAAATAACATCAAATTAATGTAATCTATGATTACAACATTTAGTAATACAAAAGACATCCATTTTAGTTGACACTGACACGTGACATTTCAATTATATCTGTCATCCAACCATGATTGAAAAGGTCAATAAATATTAGAAAAAAAATTGAACAATATGACTTTGAAATAAATTATTAACATACTTTTTATTTGCTTAATTTATCATATTGTTATGAAAAAAATATTTTAATACCTTTCAATGTTAACACACTGAAACATTTTATGCCCTTTTGCAGTAAGGTAATAAAAAGTTTAACATTTAAAAAAAATCTATTTCTATATATACCGGTACATTAACACACAGCACCATCTAGTTCCATGGCGACCTACGAGACCTGTGTTATGGATACCAGATAATTGATACACTCGCATATATAACTTTAAATACATACATCTATCTATACTTATTATAAAAATAAGTCCCCCGGCCGCGTCTTTCTGTCCTCCTGTCTGTCCTCCTGTCTGTCTGTACGCGATAAACTCGAAAACTACTGAACGGATTTTTATACGGTTTTCAACAATAGAAAGAGTAATTCTTGAGGAAGGTTTAGGTATATAATTTATTATGCTTTTATGTAAATTAGCTGAAATACGGCGACAAATGTTGAAGAGGTCGCAAAAAATCTCGCCAAATGGGAACTTTCCACGCGAACGCCGCGTAAACTAGCAAAGATACAGTTAAGTAATGTACTAGAGAATTCAAAATCTATAAAAATGCTACAAAAAAGTCCACGATAGCATATCTCTATCTCTTACGGTTGACTTACAATAACCACTTTTATGTTAACATTTTTAATTAAAAACATTACGTTATTTTCAAAGTTATTTTCTTTAGTTCGGTATTAATCCTTATCCAAATGAATATTTTAGTTAGCTTAGTCATTTAATGCAGATTAAAATTGCTCTTTACACTAAATCAATCAGATGAATAGTTTTTGAGATATCGTTGTTAGAAGTAATTAGTAGCGAAACATTTTTAATGCTTGGCGAGCATTGAGATGCCTACGGCGAGTCCATCCCCTCTGCCCCGCATCGCTCGACCGCCTGCTCAAGCTATATAAACCGGGCGATGTAGCGCGCGATCCTAGGATACTTTTTACCGCGGGAAAATATCTTATTTCTGAGGAAAAATACAAAAACTGCAATGTAAGAGTATACTAATATGTAACACCTAAGAATTTAGTTTTTGGTCATCTGAACGCGGGCGGAGCCGCGGGCAATGCTAGTATTATAAATATATATTATCTGAGCAGATAAATAATGGGATTACAATTTTTTTCGATCTATAACAGCGAGTAAAAAAATTAATAGTTTCCGACGGATAATGGAGAATGCCATTTACAGAAGTAATTCAGATAAAATACTTTTTTAGTCTATATGAAATATAAATACAAATCAAAGTATCCACGGACCATTAAATGTTTAGAACTGTTAATGAAGTAATTTTATGAACTGCTTTTATAAGTTCCGAAAATCACCACTAGGGAAAAGAGATATATCACTGATAGAAGCGACGCCATTCATAATCCCATGTTTTATTTGCATCTTTATCTATCTGATATATATTCAAAAATATTCCATTTTATTAAACAAAACTTTATTTACATTAGTTAATACTAATTTTTGGTATCATTCAAAGACACATTTAAAAATAGTAAAGTTCAAAACATAGTACAAGATACAGCAGTAAAAAATTAAATTAGAACTATTTTATGTAAGATTGATGTGTAATATTTTAATTTTAAACGCAATTTTTTTCGAATTCCTATATATTTATATGTACTCAGCCCTTCTTTTTAACGTCCCACTGCGGGGGCACAGGGGGGGGGCTTCCTTCTATGCGAGGGGGATCAGGCCATAGCCCCCCACGCGGGCCAAATGCGGGCGGACTGAGCATGTCTGCAGATAACTTGCTAGGTTCTCGCAGACATGCAAGTTAACCACGATGTTTTCTTTCACCGTAAGGTGATCATGTTAGAAATGATTCGCACATAAAAATATTAAAGGTGCGAGACGTGGGATTTGAACCCGCTTCACTCGGTTTCCCAAGCGAGCGCGTTAACACTCCCGCTACCACTGCCTTTTATATACATACAGATAATGAATACATAACAATTTTATATGTAAAAAAATACAATGCTGTCTCTTGTACATAAATAAAAAATCTTATCTATATATTACATAGTATATAACAAAACGGAACTAAGACTCGAATCACATTCGAGATAAAAAACATCAATTAATAGCCAAATGCATCTTAGACATATCGATTATTTATCGATTCTTAGGGAGGTATACCGATTAGGGAATCGGTATCGATATTTATGTTAATATTATTAGAAGGAAAAAATTGTTTGTTTGCATATAAGCTATAATCTCTGTAACTAAACAGAGAGTTTAAATACTTACATTTTCACACACTTACAATTTTCTTAATGGTTTTTTTTAAAAGAAAATTAAGGTACAGCGATTAATTAATTAATTAATTAATATAAAGTAAATATTATTATGAACTAGGAAATTAGCCTAGCTTTTTTCGGGTGCGCCCCTTCTTAAGTTTCCTACGTTTTATTTTTTTGCGCGAAACCCTCATTATTTTTATAAAATAATAGTACCCTACTTACTCTTTATAAAATTAGCTATATGCTAGTGAAAATTCCGTCAAAATCAGTGCAGCCGTTTCGGAGATTAACCAGAACAAGCGGACGGACAGACAAAAGAAAATATCTTTTCCTTATATGTACCGTATATAATTTCATATGCATTTAGTAAAAAGCTTTTATTTCGACATTACACACAGACACTTCAATTTTATTTATCTGTATAGATAGTACCACATAATAGGAATAGTGTAGATATTCTATATATTATTATATACATAATTATAACGTATTTAGGAGTTCTTAGAACTAAAAACTAATAAATAAGGTCACAAAACAAAATCACAGCCTAAAAACCAAAAAGAAACTAAAATATGGCGATTGTTTGGACATTTATATTTATTTCTTGTCTTAATTCATATTCAAATTCAAGTTCTTAAACTTTAATTAATTATTTACAGGACTTCACGCTGAAGTCAACTTAAACGGAAGTTTACAACTTCATATTACTATACAATAATCAAACTTAAACTGAAGTGGGTTTCAAACAGTTTCAGCTGAAAAAACAGCTTTTAGTGACTTCAATGTTCTCTTTACCTCGATTTCTCTTTCTATTTTCTATATATTGTTGAAAACCACCTCCTAAAATGCCTAATAAAATAATAAAGCCTACCATTGAATTCGATTTGAATTTCTTCGCACAGTCATCTGGATTATCAGGTTTCAGTGTGTATATCTGTAAAAATATAATTTTACACTGTTACTTTAATTTAGAATTTGAATGTTTTTGAAGATTGTTACACAATAACTCGTTAACCATTGAACTAATTTTGATGAAACTTTGCACACAAATAATGCTTTAAATTGGAGATTTCTTACTATAAATATAGTGTTATAGTAATAATTAATTGAACCCTACTTTATCTGTGGTAAATAGTATTTTTTAAAGTACAACACTGTTTTGTCTATGTCACTCTATATGATGTCACTTCTTCTGATTATCTCTCGCTAATAAAACTACGTACAACAAATCACATATATTTTTATTAATCATATCAGGTTATGGGCCCAGGCCACCTGAATATTGCTTAAAATAAAAAGTAAAAGTGTTTTAAAATTATAAAAATAAAAGTACGTAGTTCTGGTAAAATTAGTAAGACATAACCTAAGACTCCGCACGTGTTCTCGCAAGTCAAATTTTTCTTCATTGGCAAAATGTCTTTAAATAATGCGATGGCACTGATAGAAAAGCTGACGGGAAGAGAAAATTATTCAACGTGGCGATTTGCTATGCAAACTTATCTCGAACACGAAGATTTATGGAGTTGTGTCGTTTCTAAAGAAAATGAAGCCATTGATACAAAGCTCGATACGAAAGCTAGATCTAAAATAATTCTACAAGTGCATCCTATAAATTATGTACATATACAAGAAGCTAAAACAGCTAAAGATGTGTGGAATAATCTAGCAAAAGCTTTTGATGATAATGGTTTGACACGTCGGGTTGGTCTCCTGAGAGATCTGATAACCACAAACCTTGAAAATTGTCTAAACATTGAAGACTACGTTAACAGAATAATGTCAACCGCCCATAAACTGAGAAACATTGGTTTCAATGTTGATGATGAATGGCTCGGGACCCTGTTACTGGCTGCTCTTTCTGAAATGTATCAACCCATGATAATGGCACTTGAGAGCTCTGGTGTGAAAATTACAGCTGATTCAGTAAAGACAAAGCTTCTACAAGATATAAGAAACTCTGAGTCTAATGCGCTATATGTGAAAAGCAAAGGAAATCAGTTGCAATCTGGCAAACAAGTTCAAAATAAAGTCAAGTCCAAGGGTCCGAGGTGTTATGTGTGCAATAAATATGGACACATCAGTAAAAATTGTCGCAACAAGAAAAAAGAACAAAAATCGAATGAGCAAACTGATTCTAGTTATGTCGCAGTGTTCTCCGCTACAACGAGCAACAACAGCAATTGGTATATAGATTCTGGCGCTTCAATGCATATGACAATGCAGCGTGAATTGCTTTATGATGAGGTGCCACCTCCGATTACTACAATAAGAGTGGCTGATAATAAGAGATTAGTTGTGAAAGCATGTGGGAAAGTAAATCTTAATGTTGTAAACAAACAAGGCAAGATTGACACAATCAAGGTACAAAATGTTCTATATGTTCCTGAGCTGGCTACTAATCTTCTCTCAGTGAGTCAGATAATAAATAGTGGTTGCCAAGTACAGTTTGGCAGTCAAGGCTGTTTAATCCTAAATAAAAATAATAAGCAAGTCGCAGCGGCTAAAGTTATAAACAATATGTACCAGTTAAATACACATAATATTCCAGCCTACTTATCTACATCTACAGAGAATGATTGTTACCTGTGGCATCAAAGGATGGCACATTTAAATTTTGAGGACTTAAACAAATTATTGGAGAGTGCTAGAATCAAAATAAACAAGACAGATAAAGTGACATGTATTTCATGTTTGGAAGGAAAGCAGACGAGAATCCCTTTTCCTTCTGAAGGTTCTAGAGCACAAGCGAAGCTAGGACTTGTTCACTCAGATGTCTGTGGAAAAATAGAAGTGCCAAGTCTTGGGGGAGCTCAGTACTTTGTTACATTTGTTGACGACTTTACAAGAAAGGTATTTGTTTATTTGATTAAAAACAAATCAGAAGTCTTCCAGAAATTTCAAGAATTTAAAGCCTTAGTTGAAAATCAACTTGATTCAAGAATAAAGATACTCCGCACTGATAACGGAAAAGAGTATCTAAGCAATGAGTTTCAAGCTTTTCTTAAGAAATCAGGGATCACACATCAAATGTCCACTCCGTACACACCACAACAAAATGGTCTAGCGGAGAGGATGAACCGGACTTTGCTTGAAAGAGCTAGATGCATGCTTATAAATGCTAAACTTCAGAAACAATTTTGGGCAGAAGCTGTGTCAACTGCTGCATATATCACTAATCGATGCCCAACAAAAGCTCTATCATTTTTAACACCAGAAGAGAAATGGAGTGGTAAAAAGCCAGACATTACTCATATGAAAATATTCGGTTGTGAAGCAATGGTGCATGTTCCAAAAGAGAAAGCAAAGAAGTTTGACTCAAAAGCAAATAAAATGTTATTCATTGGTTATAGTGAACAGACCAAAGGATACTCAGTCTCGCACGGAACGTCATTAAGTGCGCGTGCGTCCCGCGTATTCCTACAATCGCGGCTCGCAGTCGCTAGTTTACAAGTACAAGTAAGACGTTATTGGCAAAAATGCAATGTCAAATGTGCAAAAAAGTGTTGTCGAAAAACGGATCTCATTTCGTGTGTCAAGGTCCATGCCAGGGAAAATTCCATAGGACCTGTGTAAAAGGACTATTGGCTGACATGAAGGCGGGCAAGAACCGTTTATTTTGCAACAACTGCGAGGGATGTTCTACTGTTGATGATTCTGAAGGAGATGAACAGGAAACAGAGGGACATGGTATTGAAAAGATCCTTAAAGACATTCGAAATAAAGTCAGTGCAATTCCAAGCCTCCAAAAGCAATTGAATTCTATAAAGAGAGAAGTCTTCAGGACATCATTAATCTCCTGAAGATAACCGATCCTGACGACGTGCCCGCCTTCGTGGCGAAGCAGCTGAACAAGCTGCCTCCCGTCACGTTCGACCACGTTGACGTTACCAGGCTGCTCAAGGATATCACCATCCTGAAAGCTGGCCTGGCAGAGGTGCAGTTTAAGTTAGAGATTTCCGAATCTACCATCAGTGAGCTGCGCGCAGAATTATTATCGTTCAAAAATAATGGTTCTGTAAGTAGGTCACCGGAGGTCACTAACATAAACACACGTCGCGGCGCACAAATTGACTCCATCAGCAGTCTGTCGTCGCCTCCGATTACTGCTGAGGTGCGTGAATCGTGCGACACAGTGACGCCCGCCACCCGATCCCCGGCCCCGCTGATGACGTCGAGTGCGAGCGCGGTCATGACCCCGCCGCGTGCATACGCCGCAGCCGCAGCCGCAGCTGCGCCTGCCCCCGCCCCTACACCCGCCCCGCCAAACAAGCGGCCCTCGAATGGAGGGAAAAAGAAGAGCCGGAGCAAACCAGCTGCCAAACAGGTGCCTTCGACGGGTTCCACGAAGATCCAACCTGACGAGGAGGGCTTCACTAAAGTGGAGAGGAAGAAAAAGAAGCCCTCATGCCGTAACATCTGTGGCACAGCTCCGAACCAGCCAGACCATCCGATGCGTCCTGCCGTACCATCGACGCCGCTGTATGTGTCCCGAGTGCACTGGTCTACGAAGGTCGAGGATGTCGTAGACTACGTCCTGAAGAGGTCCAACTTCAAATTGAGGGTTGAACGGCTGGTACCTCGCCACAAAACGAGTTTCAATTCGTTTGTGGTGAGAGTGCCGACTCATCATCTGCCAACCTTCATGAAGGAGGACTTCTGGCCGCAGGGCGTCGTGTTTCGGAAGTTCCGAGGTCGTATGCCCGCCGACACAGCTTACACGTCTGCACTACGTGTTAAATAGTTTTTATATATGCTATGGGCCGCTGTTTACATATTTAAGATCCCTATGTAAATATTGCCTGAAATAAATAAATAAATAAAAATAAATAACGGACAGCATGAGTGTACTGTCGGAAAAGTATGACACTTTAATGGCGGAACATGAAGAATCGAAGAAAAAAATTCGTGATCTGGAAAAGTCCATAGTGAATACCAATAATAAATGTGTGTACCTGGAGAAATGTAACATGGCTCTTGAGCAAAAAGTGCACGAGTTCGACCAAGCTTCCCGTAAGCATAATCTAGAAATTGTAGGTATTGAACAATTACCTAATGAAAACGTTATGGCGGTGGCTAAAAAACTGGGAGATATCATAGGAGTGAGCAGCGCATGTATCGACTGGGTGAGTCGCCGCACGACACGCAAAATTAATGACAAACCAGCTCCGATTATTATAGGTTTTAAGACTTCAGGCACTAAAAGTCGGGACGAATGGTTAGCCAACAGGCGTAAGCTCAAGGAATTAAACAGCAGCGCGATCACCGGCGGATCTCAACGTAATAAAATTTTTATTAACGAAGATTTAACCAAAACATCACGAGAGCTGCTGTGGAATGCCAAGACACAGCTGAAGGAAAGATTTAAATTCATCTGGGTAAATAACGGCAAGATCTTAGTGAAAAAAGCTGACGGAGATAAATCTGTGTGGGTCAGGTCAGATGGCGATATTCGCGAACTGCTCAAAAAGTGAAATGTCTGTTAATAATTAACCTGTGTCTTTTTATAAGTATTAATTATTCATTGTTAAAATTCGCGTCTCTCAACAATCTAGATTTAATAACTAATAGTGCCATAAATGCTGTTTGTGTGAATGACCTTGAAAGCTGGATGTCAACCTTTATTAAGAAGAAAGACTTTTGTTTACTTCACATCAATATTCGATCATTAAAAAAAACATTTCAGTGAGTTACTTGTGTCATTAGACAATAATTTAAAAAAAATAGATGTAATTGTTGTCACGGAGCCTAACATTAATTATGCATATTTATCTTTTTATAAAATTAATGGCTTCACGATTAATAGTTTCACTCGTTCGGGAAGAAGCGGGGGAGGGGTAATAGTGTACGCGCGGGAGGGGCTCGCGGCTCGGGTGTGCGGCCTGACGACACGTGCAGTGGCACAGATGCGCTCAGCGGAGTGCGTCACTATAACACTAACTCATGACTATGAACCAATTTATATAATTTCAATATACAGACCGCCTAAAATAAATAAACAAGATAAAACTTTGCAATTTCTAGAAGAATGTCGTAACCTATTAGAAAGTATACCCAATAACACGAAAGTAATTTTTTGTGGCGACATAAATTTAAACTTATTAAAAAATCGAGATAAACATGTCATAATGTATGAAGAACTTTTAGCTGAGTTTGGTTTTATCAAATGTATCGATCGAGTTACCCGTAGTGAAATCCTATTGGAAAACCTAGTAGAATCATGTCTGGATCATATATTCATTCGTGCACCATCGGCAAAAATAGATTCAGCTGTGATACACCATAAAATATCCGATCATTACCCGGTATCGGTTGCGGTGGAGTGGGAACGCGCCCCGTTGCATAGCAGTATGGACGCATCTGAGCACGAGTCGTCGCTGGGTTCGCGTTCCGAGGCTACCTCCCGCCCCCGCCCCCACCCTGCACAGCCTACCGCTAATAGCTCACGACTAATACGTGTCCTGGACAATCGTGCAGTACGAGAGAAACTATTATCGACTAATTTTGATGATCTACTATCAATTACATGCCCATTGAAGCTTTATGAAGCTTTTAGATTAATATTTTTAGATATTTATCAATGTTGTTATAGTACTAAAATAGTTTATAGTAGTAATAGAAATAATAAAGGCTGGGTTACGGAACATCACAAAAAAATGCTTTTAGAAAGGGATAGACTATTTGTAATATGGAGTAATGAACCAAAAAATATGATAAAACGATTAAGTTACACTAAATATAGAAATAAATGTAATAAAGTTATATCTAAGAGTAGAAATGAGTATGATAGGCAGAGTATATTAGATTGTAATAAGAATATAAAGAAGTTATGGGATAGAATACATGCATTAATGGGTGACAAAAGACAATCGTTAGATAGTTTAATAATAGATAATATGAAAAATCAAGGCAGTTTGACGGATATATGTAATAAGTTTGCGAATACTTTCACGGAAGAAATAGATAATATTAAACATGTTTGTAATGATAAATGGATGGATAGGGGAAACTATGTACAATACAAAGACGTATGCATGAGGTGGCAACCGGTGAATAGTAGGTATGTTAAACGAGTCATAATGAGAATGAACACAAACAAAGCACCGGGGAACGATCTCATGCGCATGTCTGATCTTAAGTTTGCTGTCGACAAGGTGTGTCCTGTGATCTCTAACTTGGTTAATCTATGCGTTCGTAACCATATATTCCCAACAATGTTAAAAGAGGCCATTGTACGCCCTATTCACAAAAAAGGAGACCCGAAGTCCTTTGCTAATTATAGACCAATAGCAATATTATCGAGCGTAGATAAAATCATAGAAAAATGCATAGTGAATCAAATAGGGGATTATCTTCAAAAGAATAATATATTAAATAAGTGTCAACATGGATTTCAGAAAGGAAAAAGTACGAACACTCTTTTGTCAAACTTTACTAACGAAATTAATAATCACTTAAATGAGAAAAAATTTGTTGTGGCAGTGTTCTTTGATTTTAAAAAGGCATTCGATACCTTAGAAACGGATACCCTTATAAATGCAATGGAGGAGTGTGGGGTGGGGGAGCCGCTGAACAAATGGTTCCGCGACTACCTGACCGCACGGTCCTACCGCGTGAAGGTGGGTGAGACGACCAGCGACGCGAGAGAGGTGAGGTGCGGGGTGCCGCAGGGCTCGGGGTGCGGGCCTGTGTGCTACCTGATGCACGTGAATAGCTTGTGCGGAGTACTGCGCCACTGCTCTGCGTACATGTATGCGGATGACCTGTGCGCAGTGCTCGCCGGCACTGATCTTGCCGAGACATGTCGTCTGGTTCAGCTCGATATAGAAGCAGTTATTAAATGGTCCCATGACAATGGTATAATCTTGAACGCTGCCAAAACTAATTTTTTGTTAATTCATTCCCCGTACCTTCGACCCCCTGATACTTTGCCTCAGATAGTTTCACATAGTTTCTCATGTATACATAGTAAAATGTCTAGTTGTAATTGTAAACCCATAGATAGAACCAAAATAGTCACTTACCTTGGGATGAAAATTGATGAAAACTTTTCCTGGTCCTCTCATATAGAACACATATGTAATAAATTGAGAGTACTATTAGGAAAATTTTATCACCTAAGTCTTAGAGTACCTCCTAGTACCCTTAAATGTTTATATACATCACTAGTTGACTCAATAATAAGCTATGCCCTTGACTGCTATGGTCTTACATTTAAAAGTTATATACAACAATTAGAAGCACTACAAATAAGATTTTTAAAATTAATTGTATCTAAAAACACCAAAAAGGGCTGTAAAGGTGATTATAACAAGCTGTTTAAAATTTGTAATATACTTCCTGTTAGCCTTAAACATAAATATTTACTTCTAGTAAACAACCATGGCAGTCTGGAGCGCTCTTTGTTGGTGACACATGCGCAAGGTACCAGGTCAGTATCAGCGGGAAAATATATTGTTCCAAGGGTACATAATTATTATGGCGATCGAACGCTGGATAAACGTCTACCGTATCTCATGAACAGTTTGCCCGCTGATATTAGACATGAACCAAGTAAAAGTAAATTCGCCAAATTGTTAAAAAAATATTATATGGACAGCTTAACATAATTTAACATACCTACTCAAAATATCATGATGTAATATATATAAATTTAATATATATAAATGTAAAATATATATAAATATCCTTAAATATTATAATGTAAGATTAATAACTGTGAGACTCTGATCCCACAGACAAACTGTGCAAACAGTTTTGTGGGTCCATTGCAAAATTAAAAGTATATCATATAGTGTAATAATAAAAAAAAAATAAAAAAAAAATAAAATACAGGTTTTTAGATCCTAAAACGAGAAAAGTTGTAATAAGCAGAGATGTGGTCTTCCTTGAAAGCTCAGTTAAAAGAGATTATTCTCTTGTACCACTTTCAGAGTCTGTCTCAGAATCATGTGAAAGTGATGACAACTCTAAGACCCAGAAAATCACTCTGAAACAGTCTAAGATGACTGAAGACGAATCAAGTGAAGATTTTTACTCTGATGATGGATCTCTGTATGAGCCCGATGTAACTATAGATTCATCTGAGCTAACAAATAATATCACAACAAGATCTAAAGCAAGATTATATAGAATGCAAGCTCATAAAGAAGCAGAAGCCAATGCTTACAAATGTACAGATGAAATTATAAGAGAACAGGTTGTTCCACTAACATACAGTGAAGCATTATCTTCTAATAATCCAAATGCTTCAAAATGGAAAGAGTCCACTGAAGAAGAGCTAAATGCACATGCAAAGAATGAAACATGGCAATTGATTGAGAAGCCTGAAGGAGTGCGGATAATTGGCTGCAAATGGGTCTTCAAAATAAAAGACGAGCCATCTGGTCCTCTCTTCAAATCAAGGTTGTGTGCTAAAGGATGTAGTCAGAAACAAGGTGTTGACTATAAGGAAATATATGCTCCAACTGTAAGGTATGATTCATTACGTGTTCTACTTTCAGAAGCAGCTCAACACAACTTGCATATTGTTCAATTTGATGTCAAAACTGCATTCTTATATGGAGATGTAAAGGAAGATATTTACATGACGCCACCTGAAGGTTTGGATGCTCCTTACAATATGGTATGTAAACTCAACCGTTCTCTTTATGGTCTTAAGCAAGCACCGAGGTGCTGGAACCAAAAATTTGATACTTTGCTAAAGAAATTTGGTTTTGAAAGCTGCCATAAAGACAGGTGTGTGTATGTTGGAAAAGTAAATGACATTAAGGTGTATTTACTATTGTATGTTGATGATGGACTTCTAATTTCAAAATCAAAAGATATTCTGAATAAACTTATATGTGAATTAAAGAAAAATTTTGAAATAAAACAGTGTGATCCAAAGAACTTTGTAGGACTACAAATTGAAAGATCAGAAGGGAGTATTTTCATTCATCAAACAAAATACACTGAGAAACTGTTGCACAAATTTAATATGCAAAATGCTAACTGTAACAATATTCCAGTTAATCCTCACACTACACTGGAGAAGAATACAGAGACTCCTGATAAGAAGATTCCATACAGAGAAGCAGTAGGCTCACTGATGCATCTAGCGGTGGTAAGCAGGCCCGATATAATGTATGGAGTTAGTCTGGTGAGTAGATACCTTGATTGTTATGATCACACTCATTGGAATGTTATTAAGAAAATACTGAAGTATTTAAAAGAAACCAAAGATTATGGTTTATGTTATTCAAAGTCACAACTGAACATAGTAGAAGCTTACTGTGATGCTGATTTTGCTAAAGACATCTCCACACGGAAGTCTTTAACTGGCTATGTGTTTATTAAAAATGGAGCTGCCATAACATGGGCAACACAACGACAACAAAGTGTTGCTTTGTCTACCACTGAAGCAGAATTCATGGCTGCTTGTTCTGCTACAAAAGAGGCTATGTGGTTGAAAGGACTCTTAGTGGATATTGGTGAATTTAATCAGGACTCAATATGTTTAAATATAGACAATCAAAGTGCAATTTGTTTAATTAAAAATATAGATTACCATAGGCGTTGTAAGCATATAGAAGTGCAATATAATTTTGTTAAAGATAAATATGCAGAAAAACAAATTGATTTGAATTATGTATCGAGTAATGAACAATTTGCTGATGTGTTTACTAAAGCTCTTCCTAGGGACAAGTTCCAATATTTTAGAAAAAGAATTGGTGTTCTGAATTTAAAATAGTATCTGTATCTTACCTATACTTGTAATAAATTATTTCTAAATATTTCTTTATGAGAACTTGTCAAACTAAATTTATGCCATAAAAAATTGTATGTTCATTTTAAAAATTAACTTGTTTTAAGAAAAGGGTTCAAATTAGGTGGGAGTGTTATAGTAATAATTAATTGAACCCTACTTTATCTGTGGTAAATAGTATTTTTAAAGTACAACACTGTTTTGTCTATGTCACTCTATATGATGTCACTTCTTCTGATTATCTCTCGCTAATAAAACTACGTACAACAAATCACATATATTTTTATTAATCATATCATATAGTAAGAAAGAAAAAATTAAACATGACATGCCAATGACACAACCGACTTCACTATGACACAACCGACTTCACCACTTACCTGTCTCCCAGCGTGCATTGCGTACATCGCCAATGCGATATAATACGGTATCGCCAGTTCTGCGGATTGTCCCGCCATTGTGAATCCTGTCAGACTCGCGATCAATGCCGCTGTTAAAGCCGGCTTCGTGTGCTCACCGAATGTTAGTGCTGTGGACTTTATTCCTAACCTGGCATCGTCTATTTTATCCTGGAATAATGTTTTTTTTATTAGGCAACTATTATAAATATCAAAGATTGTGTGCCTGTTCGTGTTTGTTGTTTTGTGACATCTTCTATTGTTTTTTCTTTTCATTTTATTTTATATTATTTAATTATGTATATCTTTTTTTCTCATCACCAAATGAATGCTTTAAATACGTAATATACTATTATTTGTTTTCATAATATTTTGTTACATCACAATATTATTATTATTATTTCTGTCTGTTCATCAACTTGATATGTATTTAGTGGGAAGTTTATTGGTGTATTTGTTGTCTATTATTTGTTTTCTGTAAGTGTTTTAAGTACTGTTTGTTCTCCAAAAATTAATAAACAATAAATAAATAAATGAATAAAAAAAATTTATTTATTATTTTTTTCATTTTTTATTTACATTTTTATTAATTTATTTAAATAAATAAATAAAATTCCTATCTCCTCACCTGATGAGCATATATCGTGTCATATAAAACAGTCCAGGCCAAAGCCGAGAAGTATAATGGAAGGCAGACGCTCGTCTCTATATATCCGTTTATAGCTGAATACCCCAATAAGGCCCCCCAATTGAAAGTGGCTCCCAAGAATATTTGGGGGTAGTTTGTGAAACGTTTTGCTAGCGGGTATGTTATTACTAAAGCTGAAATAAAATGAATTAATTTTATTGAAGTATAACTATAATAATTAGATGGTAGTTCAGTGGTAACGCGCTCGCTTGGGAAAATGAGTGAAGCGGGTTCAAATCCCGGGTCTCGCTCTGATATTCTCATGTGCGAATCATATCCAACATGATCCACCACTTGTCTTACGGTGAAGGAAGAGAATGAGCCCCTGCGAGGGAAGGACCAACCCCAGCAGTGGGACGTTAAAAAGAGCTGAATACAATTATCATAATTATTGTGAATGTATTGAGGCCATATAGATGAGCCTAAACACGATTTCTGCAGTATTTTAGTAAAGAGTTGAATATCTTGCAGATTCCAGGTGACGCTATAGCAACAGGCCAAGCTTACCATGTCGTTGCAATATCATTGAAGTAACGGGATGCCAAGTTACGAATGGATTAGATATGTGGAAGTTGCTCATATCTTTGTACAGTATAGAAAAGAGCTTAAGACCTGCAAACGGCTGAACGGATCTTCTTAATCTATAGCTAAGAACACTCTCAATTAAGTCACCTTTCTGTCAGTTCATTGGTTTAGATGCTACGATGCCACATACAGACACACAAGTCACAAGTTAAACATGTAACACCCCTTTTTGCGTCGGGAATTAAAAAATGAACTTACCCATACTACTGGCACCCAAAATAACACTGTAGCAGTTTAACTGAAGGAGGACTCCGAGTGCTAAACTCAATTGTAAAGCCAAAAACCCAACCGCTTGCTTCCCACTGATCGTTCCTGACACTAACGGTCTGTTTTTAGTTCTTTCTACCTGGAAAAAAGAAATATTTCTTCACTTATAATATATACAGGTGCCTCGGTGTTTTAGTGGCTAGCATGTACGCCTGCACACCCGAAGATCCTGGGTTTGAGTCCCAGGTCAGGACAAGTTTAGTTATATCTTTTTCTGTTAAAAAAGTCCCAGTAACAGCCCAGAGTTGGGAAGTTGGCGGTGTTTTGATGTGTCACCGAGTGTCGAAGAGTGGCTGGCATGTACGGTTACACAACCGGAGATCCTGAGTTCGAGTCCCGGGTCGAATCTGTTCTGGTTTCTCACCGAGAGCAACGAATTGTCGTCGCATCAGTGTGAGAGTGAGAAAGAAGTGTTTGTGTGTTTATCTTTCTCTCACACACACTGCACTATCATATCTCCCGCAGTCGGCTAGTATCTGTGAGATTGGCCGCCGTGACCGACATCGGTCGGTAGGCCTTCACAATATTATACATGTAATGGAATCTTGGAAATCGATTTTAACTACTTCTAATTCTCATGTCGATGTGAATTTTAAATAATTGTATTTTTCCAAATTTTGTGGCAGTTTTATTTTTATTTAGATTGTCGGTTCCCGATGTTTCGAATGCTTCACAGCGCACATGGTTACTGGAGAGACTGAGGTTATTAGACATCTCAAAAATCACAGTTATTATAGATGGTATCTACCCACAAAACTTTATACTAATTTTCAAAGTGTATCAAAGTTTGTGTCTGTATTTTAGTGTATATGTATGTACGTAAGACTGATATCCACAAATGCCTCACCTGCGCATCCACATCTCTATCCCACAAATCATTGATAGTGCATCCCGCACCCCTCATCAACCCTGCACCTATGAGGAATAAGGCGGCAGTCTGAAGAGTTGAGGATAGCGGCACAGTCCCCGGAATAGAACCTAGGGCTATTGACCATGAACACGGCCAGTACAGGAGGTATACACCTGAAAAAAAATTTGGGTTACGCAGAAATAAATCACAATCTATACAGATAAATAAAATTGAAGTGTCCGTTTGTAATGTTGAAATAACACCTTTTTGCTAAATGCATAATGAAATTATATATGTTACTTATAAGAAAAACACAATTATTACAATTACAATGTTAGAAAAAGAATTAGGGTTCTGCTCAAAAAAATTAAAACGTTTCTAAGTACGCAAGCGAGGGGAAATCACTAGTTAGTAAGAATCAGTCTTTAAAATATAAAGGTTATGAAAATATTACAAAAACTTACCAATAGGTCTGTCCCATCTTGATAATTTTATATATGGATCTATTTTATCTTTCCATACCAAATGTAAATTTGATTTACCACCTGGCAACACTTTCTCGTTCAATTTCTCTATGACTAACTTAGGAGCTGAAGTTTCTATAATAGCTTTTTGTCTATGATGATCACTTTGTGTTGAGTATATTCTTATATTTAGGTTTCTTTGGTTGTTTATATATAAATATTTGAACGACCTAGATTTGTGTTGCTTTATTAACTGTCTTATGGCATGTTTTACAAATGGTTTGTAGGTATTCAATATGGGGTACAGCATTTTCCTGTAACAAATTAAAGCATGAATTATTAATGATTGATAGTACTAATTTTTATTATGATGATAAAAAAAATAATTTATTATGTCATGTTTAGCTCAGTTTGTAGTGATCCTACTTGCTACTTCAGGTCCCTGATGGCATTCATTTGTGTGATGAGCACGAATGTCTGTACTCCAGTCATGGGTGTTTGTTTATATTTATAATATGTATGTACATATATAAAATTATATAAACTATTTGGTATCCATAACACAGGCCTCGTAGCTTACTACGGAACTAGATGGTGCTGTGTTAATGTACGGACATATTTATTTACTTAATAATAATGTTTCTAAATTTTGAGAGTTTCCGATATTTTCATACTCTTACAAGCACTATGGTCGCAGCTAAAATATTAGGCACTCAAAAAAGTAAGCGGGAAATGTTATAAATAGCCCATTTTACATAATAATATTGTTAGTGACGATAAAAGTTTCAACACTTATACTGATTTTAGGTGTAAATTAAACTGTTATATACTTCAAAAGTGTATATCTGTATATTTCTATTAAGTTTGATATATTTTAATATTTATATAAGATACAGAAACAAATCTACCCCATGGGAACCATACATTTTTCCAGGATAAAAAGAAGCCTATGTGTTATTCCAGACTATAATCTATCACTGTGCCAAATTTCATCCAGATGCATTCAGCCATTCTGGTGTTAAAGAGTAACAAACATCTATACTCACAAACATTCACATTTATAATATTAATATGGATGTACAACAAATCTAAGCAAAACTGCACTATTAACATATCATGCACTTTAAAACAATTTGTATTTACTAAAAACTTATAAATACTGCAATCTAAATACATAACATTAAGGTACTTTTTGCTACCATTTAAATTACATATAACAGGTTTTTTATCTTCTATAGCATAATTTTCTTGTTTCCAGTTATATATGTAATATAGGGTAAAAATATTATTAGCTATAATAATTATAATAAATAAATATTATCTTGTTGTTTAAAGCTAAATAAACGATTCACTATATAAAACAAGTATTGAATAAAATTGCACCATTAACACATGTACTTTGCACACTTTGTTTTTTACCTGGAAACGAAAAAAATAATTTTCTTCAATATTTTTTTATAATATTGTGTATATTTTGTTAGATATTTTGCAAATTTATGACGTAACGTGATCACGAATAAATTAATTCATAACATTCAGCAATTATTACATAAATAATAAAAAAAAATGTATCCGTATACAAATTACCTTGGCCTCCAACGCACTAATAAGAAATGAGCGTAAATAATAGCTTTGAGAAATATTTTTTAACCTACAAGGTTATACACACTTCACATGAACATGATAAGAAAAATTAATTTTAACATTTTATAACGAAAAAACTCAAGGTTTCAAACTACACATATTAAAATATATACTTAAACTATTTTTTATTAATTTGCACTAGTTTTTATGATAAATATAAATTGAATAAATCCTACGAAATCGAAAGAACCGCGTATTTAATCCATCGTTACATTGACAGACAGACAATTGAGCAGGGTTGTCAGTATACCCAACTTATTTTATACCGCTGGTTCACTAAAAAGTGAAATTATATACCAAATCTATACAGTAAGTATACATATAATAAAATACTAACTCTGTCGAATCTGTACATTAAATATTTTCCAACCATATTGAAATAGTCATTATTATCGATACAAAGGCCGAATCTATAGTTTTTAATTTTTTTGTCTGTCTGTCTGGAAAAAAAATACATCTGTCCGATCTAGAATAGGGTCTTGAATCACTAAAATCTAAAGTACTCTATTATGTTCTAGTATCTAATCCTATTTATTATTTGATTGATTTTTTCTTTTTTATGTGTGTGTGTAAATTTTACGCATATAAGTATGTATGAATGTATGTATATATGTATGTATGTATCTATTTATCTATAAGTATTTATATATAGTAAACGTGTTAAAGCAAGTACACCGCCTACCGTTTTTATGAACATTTACTCCTCCACCTCAAGGTTGCCTGGAAGAGATCGCTTCCAGCGATAAGGCCGCCTGCTGTGCATCTTTTCTTTGTGTTGTTTTTTTTATTTTATATTTATTTTTGGTGTACAATAAAGAATATTATTATTATTATTATTATTATTACTCTGGAAAGAGTAAATACTAAATAAGAAGAGGATTTAGTTAAATAACCAAAGAATAGTAATGTTATTTATTTTAATTTAGTTTTTTTTAAAGTCTGAAGTGCCTTTGACTTTCCGGCGCGGCAGTGGATTGATGATGGTGATGGTGAGGACCCGCCAAGGTGGAAGTAGAAGTAGTATAATGTTCTGGTTCCTCAGTTGTTGTGGTCGTTGTTACCTGTTAAATAAATTAAAGTATTATAAGTATAAATAAATAAAAAACTGTATGAATAGTTTACTGGCAATATTTTAAATAATTAATTATACAATTGTATAGTAAACTGTTCAGGAAAGCGTCATCTATCGTCAGGGAAAAGAAAAAAGTTATTGAACGTTGTAGGATCGCTTACCCACTCAAGGAAGTAATAGTTATGGTACTAGTATAGTATTCTATCACGTAAGATGATGAAGTTTTATTTATGTGTTAATCTGACCTTGTGCATATGTTCAGTTGTCGTCTTCTCTGGTTGGTGTCCACCGCCCGGTAGTTTATTTGAAACTTTATCGCTGTCGTCTGGTAACCAACGTTGCATTAATTCGTGGATCATTTTACTACAATACATATAAATAAATTAGTTTTAGCCTGAGTACGGCAAAAAAAATGAGTTAAGTACTTCAGCATTTTGTAAAATTCACCCCATAAGAGGGTAAAATAGGGGATGAAAGTTTGTATGAAACCTACTTTTTTAAGAGTTTTTTTTTGTAGTTTTAGCGTGAGCGAAGGCGCGGGCTCTGCTAGTTATCAATAAAAAAATTTGAAAATATTTTTATTAATCTATTCATATATGTTCAATATTGTTATTCATGTTCAATAATGATTATGGTTAAATTTTGACTATTCGGCGAAGATTAAATTTAGTTAAAACATTGATATAAATATAAAAACATAGATACACATTTCCTAACAGATATCTCTTCAATAAGCGGCGTCGACATGTGACTTTAAGTCGAACCAAAGAATAATAAAATTGAAAACACGAAAGTTCTAACTGTCTAAACACAAATTCGAACTTACGCGTACCACATACAGTATTCTTAACGAAACAACGTGCGTTTTAATCATCAGAAAAGCAATGAACAGTAGATAAGAATTTGTAATTAGAATAAGCAATGAACAGAATGATATCCGAAAAAAGCGCAATTCAATTTCGAATTGTGCACATATTTTTGAGGATACATTTGAAACGCTAATATTGTGTATCATGAGTTTTTGTATATCAATGATTAAAAAGGACTTATTTAGTGTAACGTTTCAACAAACCCACTGTACTCGTAGCCAATGTCCCTCATTCTGTTTCTTTCTGCCACAGAAAGCACAGAGTGTAACAGTGGATAATAATCCAGACCCGCAATATGTGATTCGTGTGGTTTTTTCTTCTTCGGTTTCAGATTATTGCTAAAATCAATACCAATATCATACGAAAGTCAAGATTTGTTTGTCTTCCATTTTGTGATAATATGAATCCCTTATTATTATATCCAGAAAAAAATATATAAAAAATATAGGGCAAATTACAACAGGCGGCCATATCGCTAACAGAGCTATTTCTTCCAGGCAACTTTAAGGATTACCAAATAGTAGTAGAGGTACTAAGATATTTGGATTCATTTGTTTTAATTTAACTGTGTTTCTTATTGTTTTTTGTGTCTATAGCAGTGTGTGTCACAAATAAATTTTTATTCCATGCTTTTGTTTTTATCGACTTTAGAAAAAAAGAGACTGGTTATCCGGGTCAACATATAGGATACCTACTTTTTACTGCGGGAAAATATCTCATCTCTGAGAAATCTATAGGTACTAACCGTTAAAACGTACTTAGAGACGAACCTGAATGGAGCGAGGGTGAGTCAGTAGTTTTAAATAAAACTTAGATATCTATTCGGATGTTTTCGCAGATTTATATGGATGTTTGGTTCCCGACATTTCGAATGCTTTACAGCATATTCTAACCATGTGACATTACGCTTAGATATGTCATTTTCATATATTTTCTTCAAGATCGATTGTTAAATAACATCTTGTCTAATCGGGTTTATTTTTTGAGTCTATAATAAAAAAAGGACGAACTTATAATCTGCAGCTGCTACTCGAAAATTTCTGGAGAAATTCATTTTCAATTCTTTTAACACAGCCTTTTCTAATTGATCCTTATACGACGTCATGATCATTTCTTGAACCATTAAAAAACCATTCTTCATTTTTATGAACTATATTTAAATAAAATTGAAATATTAATACAAAAAGTGCGGGTGTACTTATATAAGCATGTAAGAAGTTATACTTCTTTGTCTTTTAGAGCATTTAAATAAAAGCTTGTTTTTCTAAATGTTTAAACTTTTTTCATGTTTTTTCCTTTTTTTCCGTTTTTTTCTCAGCAAATATTTTCATTTGATGTGCATATCATGGGGGAGCATAAACAATAGTCCACCATCTTTGGGAGTCCGCCATATTGAATTTACAATTACGTCACTTTACTACAAGATTTGACTGCCTCAGTGGTGTAGTGGCTAGTATGTACGGCTGCACACCCGGAGGTCCTGGGTTCGAGTCCCGGGTCGGGCCAAGTTTAGTTATTGAGTCTTTCTGTATAGGAAGTCTCAGTAACAGCCCGGATTTGGATTAGCCGGAATCGGCTAGGAGAACATCATGACTACAAGATGGAACAGACCATAGTACCTACACCATGCCAAGTGCGGGCGGACTGAGCATGCCTTTCGACTACTTGCTAGGATCTCTCAGTCGGAAATAATTCGTACAAGAGAATATCAGAGGTGCGAGACCCGGGATTCGAACCCGCTTCTTTCAGTTTCCCAAGCGAGTGCGTTACCACTTGATTTTGTTAGGCAAAATATTTATACGTGCTCTTCTTTAGAGTAAAGTACATTTTGGACGAGAACAAGTAATATGTAAAGAAGTTAAGTTCGTAATTTGAATAACGAAAATCAACTTCCGAATCAATCTTATGATCTGATAATATTTTTTTAATATCTTTAAGACTACTTATTTTTTTTAAAGTGAATGATGTTTTTAACCCCGACGCAAAAACAACGGGGCGCTATAAGTTTGACGTGTCTGTGTGTGGCTCCCGAACGGATGAACCGATTGTGACTTTATGGTTTTTGTTTGAAAGGTGAATTAGTCGGGAGTGTTCTTAGATATGTTTGATGAAAATTGCTCCAAGGTGGTCGGGGGTTTTTAAATTTTTAATTTATCTGTTGTAAAAAGCAAGGCATGATTGGGTCCAACAATCTTCCTAAAAAATAGAGGTTAAATGACATTTCTTATCAGCGGAGTTATACATACTTCATCTTGCAATATTGCTAGATATTCTGGTGTTTTTCGAAATCTATGAACCACAGCGGAAAAGCTTTCATCATACAGCTTGTGAGCTTCTTGTTCTAAGTCATATTTTCTACATTCACAAGTTATTGTGAAAACTGTAAAAATGTAACAAAAAATCTTCTTAGTAATATCTTTTATTACGGAGACCAAAAAGTCTACATCAGGGGCTTAGATAAGATGGGCATTCAACAATCATTGACGAATAGATATCCAACAAGTCTGTCACAACTAACAACTATATAATAACTATTAAAAAAGGTCTAAAATCATAGTCTCTCCTGTAACTATAGTTGCTGAATAGAATTCGAAACGCCGATTCAAAAGTAAATATAAATCTGCAAGAAAGTCCTAATAGTTTTATTTAAAACTAGTAGAACCCGTGGCTTCGCTCGCGCTAAAACTATAGCAAAAAACTCTGAAAGGCAGGTTTCATATAAATTTTCATCTCTTCTTTTACCCTCTTATGGGATGAATTTCGCAAAATGCTAAAACACGTACATATTTAATTGTATTGAAGAGCATTAATACCAAGTTTCAAGTAATTCTGATCCTAAATATTTTTTGTATTGTATTATAACGTGTTTTCCCGTGGGAATTAGATAATCTCCCGCGGTAAAAAGTACCCCTATGTCACTCTTTAGACCTCCAACTATCTCCACACAAAAATCACGCCAATCCGTCTCTCCGTTTCGACGTGACAGAAGGACAAACAAACACACTTTCACATTTATACTATTAGTATGGATAAAGAGAAGCTTGTTTATTATATTAGATCACTTTTGCTAATCAAAACAGACAGTTAGGATATCGGCTCTAGCGTGGCGGACATGAAGATCCGCTTTTTTTGGATTATTTACAGGATTTTTTCGTGTTTGCTATGTAACAAAACTCAAAATAAATAAAAATAAGTAAAAACCGGCTTCCTATTTTTCAATTTTTTGTGTAGTCGTAATAAGCAGGTAATTTGTAAGAAGAAAGTTTTTTTAAATCATATTTGATTAAGTAATTTATTTAAAAATAATTTATTAAAAACCAATTTTAAAAAAATGATTTTTTTAAAACCGCTCAACCGATTTCGATAAAATTTAAATGGGGCCACCTGGGAAGTACAGCCTTTGAAAGAAAAGAAGAATTTTCCAATTCGGTTCAGGCGTCTTTGAGTAATCGGTGAACATTCATAAAGAAAAAGAAAAAAACAGATTCCGACGAATTGAGAACCTCCTTCTTTTGAAGAAGTCGTTTAAAAATGCCTTGACCGATTGTAAAGGGCTGTTTCTTCATTTTTACTCCACTGCGACAAGGAAATTCTCCATCTATATCTAATCTAACAAAGAACATTGATAACTTACCGATTAAAATGCACAAAGAGTGTATATTTTTCATTATTATTTAAATTCACTACTCTATAAATATATTTAAAATTTGAGCAATATCCATAATAATTTAACGACCAATAAAACAACACTTCATATTCCTTTATAACTTTAGATTTGGCAGTTGTTTGATCGATTTCAAACGGTGATTTTCTGGAGTCTTTTTAGGTTTTGGTTTCAGAGTATAACAAAGTCTATCCGTATGTCACAGTATTTTACTTGGAGACTATTGGAAATATATAATAATATGTTAGAAAGTTCTGCATTTTTTTTACAAAACAACAAAAAAAAATTAAAGTTTGCACTAAGTAAATAAAATATAACATAATATATCATAGTACACAAGTACGCGGGGAAACATAAGTATACTTTTCTGTCACTCTATTCTTTCGATCAATGAAAAATCAGGCGCATGACCGACGGCATTACGACTCCGAGGCAGTGAAAAATCAGCATCTCCGGTCTGTAACTGAAAATTTCTTGACAGAAAAACTTAATAACTAAGCTTCGCCTGCATAGCATGTCTTAAGACTGCGAACAAGACCTGGACTGAATCAAATGGAATGAATCACTCCAAGGCATTAATTAGAGCCTACGACAAAAGGTTTAACAATCTTATGCTAGGGCTAAACAGAAAAACCTTACGAATACTGGTAAGGGCCTTTACTGGACACTGCTGCTTAAATAAGCACATGTTCAACCTGGGGCTGAACGAAACGCGAACCTGCAGAATTTGCAGGGAGGCAGACGAAACGCCACTGCATCTTCTGTGGGAATGTGGACCGCTCATGCACAAACGTAGTATTCATCTAGGTAAACAATTTCCAAGCCTAGATGAAATAAAAGAGTGTAACCCTAAGAAAATCCTGCAGTTCTTAACATCAGCAGGGTTTAGTGGTTCACTCTAGTACAAAATAGCGGCGATCACAATAGACCAGAAATGGTCGCAGTGATATAAAAAAGCCGCCAAACGGAAAAAAAAAAAAAAAAAAGCTTCGCCTGACCCGGGACTTGAACCCAGGACTTTCGGATGTGCAGCCGTACATGCTAGCCATTACACCACCGAAGCAGTTGACCATTAACTCCTTTTCTTTTTTTTTATGTTAGGACATTAACACACAGCGCCATCTAGTTCCATGGTAAACTACGAGGCTTGTGTTATGGACACCAGATACTCGTAGTTGATACCTACACATATATAACTTTAAATACATACATATTATAAATATAAACACCCATGACTGGAGTAGAAGCACTCATGCTCATCATACAAATGCATGCCCCTAGCGGGACTCGAACCCACGATCACTGGCACAGCAAGTAGAGTCACTACAAACTGAGCAAAACGTGTCGTCTTTTGTAAATGATTAGGTCATATATCAATGAAATCCACTCAGAGTTGCAATAATTACTTTATAATTGTTTTTAATGTAGAAAATTAGTTACTTCTCTGGATAAATATAAAATTACAGAAGTTGTTCATGATGTTTTGTTTTAGTTTATACATCTGAAAGATTCGAAAGAAAAAAAAAACGAAAAAAAAACTGTAATGGAAAAATTACGTAGTATTATATTACTTTAGGGAGAAAACAACAATAATATAGTATATACTTTGGTTTTACTTGGAAAGTGTAGTCTAAAATCTGGTTTTTATTATTTATTTTTTCAAATCCAAATATCTTTAAGGTTTTGGATTGTATTGGGGTTAAATGGAAGGTATTGGGGTTCTCGACCCCTCTCTCAGCTTTGATCCATAAATAAAACATATGTATACAAAAATATTTATTTATCTTCATAAATCCCTCTCTTACCTACAAATGGAATAGAGGTGCGTCCAAATGAAAAAAGCTCATCCTTTTTCGGTTTCCTATAATTAAATTTAGGCAGAGGATTCACTTTATTCTGCACAGTTTTGATATATATTTTTTTTAAATACGAAGTTGGTGGTAAATGATTAATTTTTTTCGGCTTTTCGTTCAAAGCCATTTCTAAATCTCTTGGATTTACATTTTTAATTACTTTATTTCTATTATCTGGATTAGAATCTGAATCAAAATCAATGTTATTTTTTTTTATTTTATCTCTAAACCCACTTTGTCTTTTATTATTGGTATTAAATTTTTTCTTATTTTGTATGTCCAAAGAATCATCTTCATATTTTTCCTCTCTAGATATCTTGGTTCTTTTAAAATTATCTTTTCTAGTTTGTATAAATTCCTGATTTGTACCTATGTTGTCTATATCAGATGCTGATCGTCCTAATGAATCTGAAATTAGTGCTACCATTTATTCTTTTTGTAAACAGTGAGAGTCTGATGTGATTTCTCATCTCCAATGAAAAGACGTTTCTAATTTTATAAAAGAAAATTTTTTATCATCAAACTTGATACTTTTATCTATACATATAATAAAATTGTAACTAAGCCGAATCTGTACATTAAATATTTTTTGGAAAATCTAATTGAAATAGACATTATTATCGATACAGAGGCCGAATCTATAGTTTTTAGAATTTTTGTCTGTCTGTCTGTTACCGGATCACAGAAAAACTACTGGAGGGATTTTGATGTTTGGTATGGTCATAGCTGGTTATCCAGGTCAACATATAGGATACTTTTTACAGCGGGAAAATATCTCATTTCTGAGAAAAAATACAAAAAGTGCAATGTAAGAGTATACTAATATATAAAACCTAAGAATTTGGTTTTTGGTCATCTGAACGCGGGCGGAGCCGCGGGCAATGCTAGTTTCCTATATAAGGGATCAACTTTCATAATACCTTAATCAGCTATCCTCCGTTATATAAGGAAATTTGTGTAGATTGTGCAAACTTTTACGTTTTCAGAGCCAGCAGTAAAGGCTGTGTCATCATTCGGTCCGTTTTCGAGATTAGCAAATTACCAGTCTACAGGTTTGTTCCTAGGCCTAGGTATCTTTTGTATTTCCTCGCACCACACTCTCGTGGTATGCGCCGCTTGGGCTCCCCAGCGCCATGCCCTGATGGCGGTAGTGGGTGGAGACCTCTCGTTGCGAAGCGTGGTGGGGGCCATGCTACGCGACGAGAGGTCCTGGTCGGCGATGGTCTCCTTCAGCGAGGCCGTCATCTCACTGAAGGAGACGGCGGAGAGGGAACGCGAGGCTAACGCCTTAGCAGACCCTCTTCGTCGCCGTCGGCTGGGGGAGAGGAGGCGCCGGCATGCGCATCTTCTCCCGCCACCCTAGAGAAGCTACTGCGGGGGGGTCTCTCGTTGACTCCCCTGCACGTCATCGGGGCGGTCGGGATGCTCTGTGAATCGAGGGCATCCCGGTTTAGGCGAGGCAGGCCCGCGGGGTACGGGCTGTCCGCAGGGGTGTTGTAGCAAATGCGCAAGCGATCCTGCACACCCCATTGCACTGCGGCGACGGGTTCCGCTGTGGGTTTTAGTGAGTAGGAGTCTCACAGTACCCTACCCATTGACGGCCGGTAGATGATCCCCATGATGAGCCCCATGATAGGTTTCCCCAGCGTCAACAAAAAAAAAGGTATCTTTTGTATTTACATATAGTATTATATGTAGGTTAGACCATCTCTCTGAGAACTAAATTTAATCCAAATCCGTTCAGCCGTTTTAGTGTGAAAGAGTGACAAACATACACACACACACAAGCTTTGACATGCGTAATAGTGTGATTATAATTATATACCAAACTTACCACGATAGGAAATTGCGCTTTTTTTCAAATACATTAAATCATCCTTTAAGCTCCTTTTCTCGAAGTTATCGAATGTCTCATCTTGACTTTGAAGGTTTGAAAGAAGACTAAAGATGGTGGAATAATTACGGAAATTAAAATTTAGAATCCGGTCAATTATATTAGTTATAAAATCTATACACATAATAGAATTCTGAGTCGAATCTGAACATTAAATATTTTTTGGAAACTCTTATTGGAATAGTCATTATTATGGATACAGAGGCCGAATCTATAGTTTTTAGAAGTTTTGTTTGTCTGTCTATCTATCCGTTTGTCTGTATGGGAACGCATCACGATAAAACCACTGGACAGATTTTGATGAAATTTGGTATGATGATAGCTGATTATCCGTGTCAACATATAGGATACTTTTTACTGCGGGAAAATATCTAATCTATACTAAACGTAAAAACGTAACTAGATATGAACCCGACCGGAGCAAGGGACAGTCGTTGTTTAAAAAATAAATATATTAACAAGATATGACAATTGTCGAGAGGTCTGAAATATGTACTCTGAGAACTTTTAACTAACGTAACTAGTTAATATTTTTCACTAAATTACTATACACTTATATACTTACTCATTTTGCGTCCTCAAATAGTTTTTATATTCTTCCAAAACTTCAGGATTTTTAATAAAATGTAACCTAGCACCGGTATGTAGAGGATTATAATATGCTTCAGAGTATTGTTTTGCAGCATTGTAATTTTTTTTTAACAACCATAAAATTTCTTGCAGGATCTTCTCTTTTTCCTCGTCATTTAAATCATCTGATAAAATGTGATATTAATAATGACGAAAAACATATTCCATTAAACAATTTATTTAAAAAAAATATTTATTGTTGATTTTTTTTAAAAACCGCTCGACCGATTTCGAAAAAAATTATATGGGACCACTTGGGAAGTATAGCCTTTAAAATAAAAAAATATATCCACATAGGTTCAGGTGTCTTCGAGTAATCGGTGAACATACATAAAAAAATAAATTAAAAAAAGATTCCGACGAATTGAAACCTCCTCCTTTTTGGAAGTCGGTTAAAAATGCAGCTTACAATATATTTTGTGGTGGTGGTAGGATTCTGTCTACTGGTGGTAGGACTCTGACAAGGCTGAGGAGTCCGACTGGATGGGTACCCCCTTATCTATTTCTCCTGCCAAGCAACAATGATTACATTGTTGTTCCGGTTTGAGGGATAAGGTATCCAGAACAATTACAGGCAAGAGGCATATCATCTTAGTCGTCACAGTGACAACGCACCTGCGGTTCTACATTTGTGTTATATATGCATAAAAATTTATAAAAATGCAAAGCGTCTGGTAGAAACAAGATACAAAAGTCCTCGTGGAATTCAAAATCAATTTTTACCTTTATTTCTTTTATCTCTGATGTCGTCTTTTTCTTCGTTTAAAGTCTTTATGATATTTACTAAATGCTTTTTATTTATTTCTGATATTGTATTCGAGAAATGAGCTTCCAAATATGGTGATAAAACTGAAATATTACATGTTATTGGTAATATGTAAGAAGTTTCTCTGAGATACTTTAGATAAGCTAATTGTTCAGCCGAAAAGACTGATCTATCAGGCTAAGAATGTCAGGCTGATTTCTACGTATTAGTAAGTACATACTGAGGTACAGCGGTGTAATAGCGCCAACTTCATAATTCAGGTTTGCTGCAAAAAAAATCTTGACTCTGAAAATTTTCTGGGACTCGAACCCAGGATTTTATGAATTGTAACCATTTATGCAGGCAGCAAAAATAAGGCGTAACGAAGTAGAAGAAGAATTAATTTACTTTTGTAAAACAGTTTTTATGTAAGACACCTAACAGTACATAAATTATTATCTCCTCTAATTAGACTTTACATCCAAATTAGGCTTTTGCAATCTGTATATGCCGAAAACTGCATGAAAATTCTTATATTTAATATCTGATTTGAATGACCTTAGTAAAGAGTTTTATAACAGTAAATGTCGAAGAAGCTGTTGCTATAGTAATAAAAATTGATGTAAGTAAGAATTCTCACCAAAAATCAATAAAATTTGTAGAAACATGGTGTTCTTACTAAGCCATTTTGCAAAGCAATTTTTGTAAAACTATTGAAATTTTATGTTCTTATTTTAATTTTATTTCGAACCATATTAAATTATTTTATAAACGGGCTTTTACCCGTGTCTTTTCGCATGAGATATCTCAACAAATTTTTTTCGCAAAAATGATTGATTCTCATGATCATATGTCTATGGATGAGAAGGAAGTTAAAGAAAAGAGATTGAAGAGAGGATAATAGAGAGGTAATAGCTCTTTCTTCTAATAGCAAATGAAATGCAGTTCTACAGATTTTGCTACTTCACTTAAATTTATGTAAGACCGGATCCCATTGCTAGGCCGGGCCTTCCTGCATCCACTACATTGGCTAAAAAAGAGTTAGTAGATTTCCAACATCTTTTAAAAAGTAAGAATTTTGATCCTCTCAGACATGTTGGTTTTCACACTGTTTTCATTATTTGTTAGTATAATCATGTTGAAAATGATTTGTGTACATGACTACTGGTTAAGCCCGCTTCTCTCTAATTCTCAAGCATTTTTGCTACTGATAGGTTACCAGTCCAGAATATTTCAAGTAAAAGGTTTTACCTACGGTACGGAAGACCAAATACGTGTTTCATGTTTGGGTCATTTAGGATGTAAGTACTACGATAAAAATATACACAAATTAATATAAACATTGAGCAATTTTATTAATTTAAGTCTTTAATTTTTACATTTTTAATATATAAATCTATCTAAGGCTTAGACTTCACAATAACAAGTCTAAAAGATACTTTGCCAGGATGAGAAATAGTTCATGCAATTTTTGGGTTAACACAATATTTCTATGTCATGGTCATCAAAAGTCATGGTTTTTTACCGACTTTAAAAGGAAGAGTACTTTATAAGTTTATATGTACTTTTCATACAGCTGTTATACAATTTTCTTATATTATATTGCATTTTATAAATAATGATTAGGTACATATTTATTGAAAATTAATTCCTAAGTCAAACATCGTGATTATCATCAAAAACGGCCCAGCCATTTTCATTTGATAGCTGATAACACTAACAGGCGAAGAAATCGTATTACTTAGAATTGAAAGGGCACATTAATGATATTAAATATGTACATTTATTATATAAAATATGTACAAGCTTATGATAATAGATAAAGAAAAACCGACTGATCCTTAGTCTATTCTAACTTTATAAAAAGAGGTTGCTTTATTGTCTTTTGTACGTTGGAAGGCACTAAATACATATTAGAACAAGCAGTCAGATTTGGTAAATTCTTTTTGCTTTACGTATGCTTCATTGAGGTATCATCTCTACAACTCTTAGGATGGGATTAATTTTATTGTATACTCGGAATAGGTACTGTAAGAATTATCATATCAGCCAATCCAGCCTATAAACTATCTCCATTTCGAATTTCCCACAAATCTGTTGAGCCGTTATAATGGGAGGAAGTAACAGCGTACTAACAGTAAGTATAGTGTAATATACACTATACAGTTAGTGTAATACTTAAAAAATATTCACATACTAATATTTACATTGTATTCATTATGGTATCGGAAAATATGATATATCACGTCTCAATTGTAGTGTAAAATGCATTGATATATAAAAACATAGATACACAATTCCTAACAAATATCTCTTCAAAAAATGGCGTCAACATGTAACGTTAAGTCAAACCAAAGAATGACATTAAAAAATTGAAAGTTCTAATTTTCTAAACACAAATTCGAACTTACGAACACTACATAAAGTACTTTTTTAAACGAAACAACATGCTTTTATTTTTATCATTCGACAAGCAATGAACAAAAGAGATTTGAAAAAAGCGCATAATTTCGAATTATGTGCGTCTTTCTGAGTAAACTTTTAATGGCTAACGTGTATCTTGAGTTTTTGTATATCAAAGGTAAAAAGTTAAATAATATGAAAGTATAAAAGAAAGTGAAAAACACTTCTACAAATGCAAAACAATTTTGGTTAAACAAAATTCATACATTTATGTAATGTATTATGAAAAATGGTCCAATCCGGAAATCGAACCTGTTGTGATTTAAAAAAACCGTATCATTGCGTCAGCATATGTCACTTCTAGTTACTTCTAGCTGATTTTCAGCTACATTAAGCACGTTTATTACGTGTTACGTACATGTAAAATGCCAACTGTGAAAAAGGTTACATCTCTACTTGTCGCCATTTTCACAGTTTTAGTGTAACTTATATTAATCATATAGTTTAACTTATTTCATGTTACTAATCCATATAATTTAATAAAAAATCTCACGTCCACCGCATTCTACCATCACTATAATATGGTTGGTCAGATTGATATGGTTCAAGACCGTAGTCATTATAATAACCTTGGTTGCTTGGTTTCTTTGTTGTATAGCCCTGGTTTTGACCCCGGTTGTATTGTTGGTTGTTTGATTGTTGATTGCTGTAACCATTTTGATTGCTATACACGTTTCCGGTTCCTTGATTTATATTTTGGTTATTCCATTGAACTGTTGGTTCCGTTGCAGGGTTCCATATATTATGTTGATTTTGGTTTCGGTTGTTGTTTTGTTGATTTGATTGCGTGTCCCAGCCATTGTTTTGTTGATTTTGGTTTTTGTTGTTAAAATTTGTGTTCCATTGTGTATTTTGTTGGTTTTGATTATAGTTATTATTATTGTTTTGTTGATAGTTATTATTGTTTTGTTGATAGTTATTATTGTTTTGTTGATAGTTATTATTGTTTTGTTGATAGTTATTATTGTTTTGTTGATAGTTATTATTATTTTGTTGATTATTGCTGAATTCATTCGATACGGTGCCTCTATTATTTCCACTTCCTTTTCCGCCAAAAGCAACAGCAGATACAAAAGGTATTTGTACTTTAGCGTACAGCGCGGGTGTGTGAGGAGCCCCACAAGATCTGCCGAGGGATGTGACTGCCACCACTCGCCATGAACAGCCGTCTTGTATTTGAGCAGGTCCACCAGAATCACCCTATAAAGAATTGTAATAATAATCTATAAATGATACTCTAACCATGTGGTGGTTTGTAATTCTATTTCAAAGGTGTTCATGAGTCATGAATAGTGGTCATCTTCAGGTCTTTGTATAAAAGGGACAAGAATTTAAGGAGTATTTTTAAATCTACTGGACGGATATAAATAAACTTTAACTCTGTTTCCTTATGTATCTGTTCTTCTGACTTAAACTATTTAAAATCAAATAAATATGTAAAAAAATAAATGTATTAAAATATTCAATATTTTACATCTACAAATCCAATATCTAAACAAATTTTTATATTTAAATTAAATGTCGGTTTTGTAAGTCCTTGAGGTAGCTACAATCGGATTAGAAGTTAATTTTACTGAAAAAAAACCCTGTGATAAACGAGACATTAGATATTGTCCAAAAATAATTTTGGCTGTTGCTATTCGTCCAATAATCGGATGAATAAAAAATATATATTATTCGTCCGACTATTGTCGGTTTGTACGAATATTTACTACTTTTTTGTTTTCTAATGTAAAATTTAGTTAATAATATAAATAGAGTTTCTGTATGCAAAAACAAAACATCCTATCGAGCTGAGCCGAGCTACTTATTCTACTTCCTTATTTATTAGTCTACTCGCTCTTTCTTATAGTTTATATATTTTATAAGGGACGATTAATTTTTTTTATTCCTCCTATTAAAGGACGAATAGTCACTCCGAATAATTTTATTTACAATATTAGAGCATAACTTTGAATTGAGGCTTATTTCATTTAGTTTTACCAGTCGCATGTCATCACGTCTCATTACAGTTCATCAAGAGTACTTTTTTAGTTATGCAAAATTATAATTTACAAATGTTGATATCCTAATAAATGTATCATCAACATACCTGACAAGTGTCCTTTCCACCTTTCTTCTCTCCAGCACAAATTTGACTATCGCTAGAAGGTCCGTTGGGCAATTTACGGGAAGTCCCCAACACATTGTAGCATTCGTCCATTTCCCAGACTGAGATCGACACGCTCCTGAGCTCTTGAGATACATCACCACCTGGAAATTTATTGTTCTGTGTTTATTATAGCGATCTTATTAGCGTTTGCCTGCAGTTTAAGCAAGGCACATCCTTACTTACAGTCATTATTTAAATAAATTTACAAATAGTAATACAGATAATATATAATTACCAAATTCCGTTTTCCCCCATCCTGTCGCGATGACAGAACTTCCAGGAGGCGGGGGAACCCCCAGACACGCGGGCTTTATAACGTCTGAGAATCTGTTGAATATCATATACTTTTTCTTATTTACTAGATTCTTTTAATACATACTAATATTGTAAATGTGAAAGTAACTCTGTCTGTCTGTTACGCCAAAGCCGCTCAACTAGTTTTGATGAAATTTGGTATAGACACCACATGATGGACATAGGATAAAGGGTGAAATAAGGTTGAAAAATGATTATTGGGAACGAATGATTTCTCAAGTTAATGAAAAAAAATATTATACCCTATAAATTTGGTAAGAAATAAAGAATATTTGGGCGTTTATAATCAAGGGCTTAAAATAGAGGATGATTTAAAGTTTTTTTTTTTAAATACTTACGTACTTTTCTATACCTATGTATGTATATACCTACATTTGTATACTCTATCTTTTTCATTCCGTTAAAACGTACCTAGTGTTATTGATATTTTTTTATTTTTTCATATATTAATCTTTTACGATAATTGCTTTTAGAATTATGTCATACAATATTGTTTTTATTCTAATTGGCAAGCAAAAACTAATAGAAAAAATTTGAGGTTCTCGATCATCTGCAAAAAGAGGCACTCAATACGGGTGTATGATTTTCTTGAGTGTATGTTATAGTGATACGTTTGCCTAATAATTCATTTTTAATAAATAAGTTATTACTCATCAATTTTTCTTTAATAATTATGTCATCACTTATAAGAAAATGTAAGACAAATAATTCAAAAATTATTTAAAAGTGTACCTATATTTATTGTTAGAAATAAATATTATTAAATAAAAAATGCAGCGGTAGTTTAGTGGTAACGCGCTCGCTTGGGAAACAGGAGAAGTGGGTTCAAATTCCGGGTCTCGCACCTCTGACATTTTCATCCTGAGAATCATTCCCAACATAACTACAACTCGTCTTACAGTGAAGGAAAACACCGGGAACCTGCATGTCTGAGAGAACTTAGCACGTTTTCTAAAGACATGACTCAGTCCGCTCGCATTTGAGCAGTTTGGCGGACTATGGCCTGATACCTCTCGTATTGAAGTGACACCCACTCCCAGCTGTGGGATGTTAAAAAAAATGGCTGAATACATATAAAAAATACTTACGTGACAGTAGTAGCGAGTTTTACGAGGGAGATGTCGTAATAAGACCTTGGCAACTTATACTTGGGATGTCTGATGACCGCCGCAACTTTGACAACCAGTGCTCCTGGATCGTCTAGATACGATGATCCTAGTTGCACTGCTCGCGGGGCACCCCTGGTTATGAAAGAAAATGAGAATTTTTAAATAAAATTATCTTTTAGGATTTTTTGCGGTTATATAGTTGCTGTTATAAGGAGTAACTATAGCTTCTTTTTTATTGAAAAAAAATATAGGATTATGCTCAATAAAATTAAAGCTGTAACTATTTTAATTTATTTAAAACGTACCTACCGACACACCCGAGCGAAGCTTGGTTAAGTCGCTAGTTATTAACCGACTTCCAATTCCAAAAAGGAGGAGGTTCTCAATTCGTCGGAATCTTTTTTTTTATATATATATATGTTCACCGATTACTCGAAGACGCCTTAACCGATATGGAAATATTTTTTATTGTTTCAAAGGGTTTTCATTTAGAATAGATAATTAATCAGATATTTTCGAAGTCGGTGTCAGCCTACAATATTTTATGATATGAATATCTAATAGATAAATATGTATTTTACGTATCGAAATATATTAGATTTGCTTTGCATCTGCTGGCACCGACTTCGAAAATATCTGATTTGTAATCTATTCTAAATGAAAACCTCTGTTTAGTTATTTTTTACATTTTAGTGCCTGGAAGTCGGTTTTTATTTTTTGTTAAAAAGTTTTTATACATATATAAACTTGCTAGTTAAGTTAGGTTTTTATTGAGAAAAAAAGATATTTTTTCACTCACAACACAACAGTTTCGTCTTTATCCTGGTAAGCGCAGTGAGCAGCAGTCAGGACATACTGATTGCTTATCAGGGAACCCCCGCATTTCCAAGCGTAGCCACCGGACTGGAAGTATCAATATAGAACTCAGATTATTTTTGAGTTTTAGTAGTTATTCATAATGTTAAAAAAAATTTCATTTTTAAGTGTTACTAGCAATTATTGCTTAGTATACGTCTCTTATTGCGCTTTGTATTTATAATATTATATTTTAGCAAGTTTTATTGCTAGCCCATGTGTTACTCCAGGTTATGGTCTATTTATATGCTAAGTTTTATCAAAATATATCCAGCCGACACGCATACATACAAACTTTCGAATTATAATAGCAGAGTTATTACGTTAACGTTTAGTATAGATTTTTCAGAGATGATATTTTTTCGCAGTAAAAAATATCCTATATGTCGACCCGGATAACCAGCTATCATCATACCAATCAAAATCTACCCAGTAGTTTTCCCGTAAGGCCTTTCAGGACAGACAGACAAAAATTCTAAAAATTATAGACTTGGCCTCTGTATCGATAATAATGGCTATTTCAATAAGATTTTCCAAAAAAATATTTAATGTACAGATTCGACTCAAGTCGAATTTTATTATATGTAACTGTCCTGCCATGTCCTATTATTGTTAGATAACCCTTACTAAAACCCTTACTCAATAAACTTCAAACTAAAAAACAATCTCAATCTTTACAAAATAGTATATCTATTAGAATATTTACCTGCATTCTTGTCCATCCCAATAACGCCATATGGGGGAACTCCTTTATTGTCACCACTTTCCCACCCACTACTAAGGGTATGGAAGTGGGGGTGCACTTTGACACGTTGATTTTTACCACTTCAGGCGACGGTACTAGAGGTATCACTTGTACTTGTTTTATATCTAGAAACTTGTATTCGTCGCACACTGGAATAATACATAGGTATGATGAGATTTATATCACATGAGAAATTATTGATTCCCCATACAAATTTCCACTTCCCTTCTAAACCCATTAAGGGATAATTTCCGGGATAAAATCTATGTCCTTCTATGTCTTTCTATCCTATGTCCTTCCCAGGGTCTCAAACTATCTCCATACCAAATTTCATCTAAATCGGTTCAGCGAATTAAGCGTGAAAAAGTAACAGACAGAGTTACTTTCGCATTTATAATATTAATATGGATTATAAGCAGTTCGGCAAAAATTGGCTAAGTATGAATTGAAAAATTAGACAAGTCACTAAAGTGTCCATTTAAGAAACCAGATAAAGCCGGCTCAAACATCTGGTTTCGCCTCTAATATTTTCAAGTGTGAATCATTTCTAACATGAAACTCGCTTTAGGGTGAAGGAATAAATTGTGAGGAAACCTCATGCAGGTTTCTGCTCTAAGAGAACTTAACTTATTTTCATTCTTCTAATTCGCTCACCGAATATATTTTGTTTCACATATTTGGGAAAAGAATATAACCTTATAAATATTACCTAAGCTGTGACTTTGATCGGATTTCATTGACAATATAACGGAATCTTAAACATCGATTTCCATATTTCTGACCTCAAAAATGACATCGTTCTTACATACCTACATTCCCTATTTAAGATATTAGTTGAAAATAATATTATTATTTACTAACAAACCGTCGTAAAAATAGGTTCATATTTGAAGAAGATATCGCGCAAGGTCCTCTTGACCAATTTTGGCCACAGCGGCCAATCTCACTGGTAACAACGCAGTAGATATTATAGCACAGACACCACGTGCTATCTCTATTCCTTTTACTCTCAAAGTCCGATGGTTCGGTGGGACAATACTTCGACAGCACCGGTGTGAGATGCGCAGGAGCGACGCGACACGTGTTCTACAAAGCAGAGGGTGACGAAACACCGCCAACTTTCCAACTCTGTGCTGTTGTTGACACTTTTTTAATAGAAAGACTAATAAATAAACTTGGAACGACCTCAGGATGTGCAGTCGTAGATGCTAGTCACTACACCACATACACGCATTCAACAAACAAAAAAACATCATACATACATCTACATCATACACCTCAATTAGTATTCTCAGTATTTTTTGTATGAGACAGATATATTACTCGCGAAAACTCCACTTCAAATAATTTCATCACATATCAATCACATCACATTAAAAGATAAGAAAAAATAGCAACATGCTGTTATAAATAAGCAGTATTATAATAACAGTATTCTAAATACGTACGCGTTGTCTGACAATGATTCATGTAATTGTAGGGTATTAATTTTATGAATTATTCTTGTGGTTAACACTTCGTCAATAGCATTTATACCGTATAATTTCTTATTGCGCATAAAATTTTTAATTATACTACCTATTATATTTGTTTGTCTGTTTGTTTGTCACTATTGCAACGTCACAAGCAAAATCATAGCAAGTTTCAACTAAGTGTAGACTAGAAAACACATTTCTTAGTTGGCCTTCTAAAAGACACGTGAATTTTTACAGGATGGATGTATATAGAACACAGGGCTTTCAGGGGTCTACTTAGACTGCCCCATTGGGCCGGCTACAGATTTGGAGGTCCTGGGTATGACTTCTAAGTTAGGTTAAGTATAGATAATAGATTCCTGGAATTGGAGTTGACGGTGCTCTTCCTCCTTACCTCGAGGAGTAAGACAGCCGTGGTTCTTGTGGCAATCTCAGTAAGATCGGTCAATAGTCCTCGTGATCAAAATCGGTCAGGAATTATACATACTACAGATTGTCAAAGTTACATCATTTTAGGTTCAGAGCCACTATTTACCTGTACGTTTACAAAGAAAAAAGTTTCAAATACTTACTTTTTTCAGCCATTTCTATATATCTTTTCTTCTCCACACTGTTCATGTAGTCTTCATTGGGCCCTATAATTAGCTCTGGACTGATAGCGTCATCTTGGGAGGAAATAGAAAAGCTGGACTTTGGGGGTCTGTTTGTGATTGGGGGTCCATTAGTTACAAGTGGTCTTACCCCTGGCCTACTCGTAAAAGGGACTTGGGTTGTATAGTATTTTCTGTTATCATAGTATATATTAGGCCTTGCTGTTTCATAATTTATGACGGTATTTCTTTCATTATTATCATAGGATTGTCTATGATTGTTGAAATTTTGACTAAGAGATAGTGAGGCTTGGTTTGTAGAATCAGAATTTTTTATACTTTGGCTAGGTCTTGAAATGTCTATACCAGTAACGTCTACATCTCTATGGTTTGTTATTTTCAGATTTTTGTCTCTGCTCGTATTACTGGTAGAACTTCTAGATGTTCCTCTGGCACTATTTTCAGTTGTACTTTTAATTGTTTTTCTTATAGGTCTTGAAGTAGTAGTAAAGAAGTCAAAAACAATAGCTCCATTTTCCTTTTGTTTTAGTTTATTAAATGCTGAATCTTCTATATTAAAATATATTGAGCTTTTTTTAGTAGTTGATTCAGTTCTGGAATTATGTCTAGTGACTTTTGATGCCATTTTAGGTCTTTTGGTTGTGAAATCTTGAAAATATGAACGTGTCGTGGAATGCACCGGTTGGAACGCGAAGAAATCTGAAAAGTAAGATTTAGATATAATGTCATACTAATTGCTATTAGATCACTTTGGATTTTGTATTTATTTAACATATTTAGGCAGCGTCAGAAGACTACAGGTTTGATTCCTAGAGTAACAATAACAAAATGTGCGGTCAATAAATATAAAGAAAACAATATTGGTTTGAATAATATAGATACAATTATTATGTAGTTTAGGTGTATTTGTTTATGTTTATATTATGTCAATATAAACATAAGCGAAGCTCAACCATCTCATTAGTTGTATTATAAGTATAATAGATATTCTTTTGCACAGCAAAAAAGTTATGTTAACAATAAAGAGACTAATGCGAGAAAAGGTGGACCTATTTCTACAAGACATCTCTTCGAGCCAACCTATGAAAGTTCGGCAGGAGTGTTCGGCCGGACTGACTCAGTTTGTTGTGACCCTACTTGCTGTGCCAGCGGTCTTAGGTTCGAGTCTCGCTGGAGATCGCGAGATTCATTTGTGTGATGAGCACGAGCGTTTGTACTAGAGTCATGGAAGTTCATATTTATAAAATGGATGTATTTAAAGTTATATATTATGTGTATTGTGTAGTTATCAACTATCTGGTATCCATAACACAAGTCTCGTAGCTTGCCATGGAACTAGATAGTGCTGTGTGTTAATGTTTTATTTTTTATTATTATAATAATTATATGGAAGTAGAGAGAGATAGAGAGGGAGAAGAGAGAGATAGATAGATAGAGATTGTAAAAAGCGGTTATAATGTTCTTACCAAAAAGTTGACTTCTTACGTCAGTAACGACGGCCAAGATAAGTAGTGCATGAATCGCTCGAACCATTTTAGCATTTTATGTATCTGCAAAAGAAGAAAAAAAAATGAAAAAAATTAACTTATATCAGGTACCTGCGCATGGGCACATATATTTTCATTTTATTAGCAACCAACCAATCCCCTGTTTTACATAAGAAGTATTAAGTATGTTATACAGCATCTTGACATCTCACGAGATAAATTTGGTCTCGGGTTAGGTTATATTTTACTTTGCATTGTTTGGTCTTTCTTTCAAGAACAGTTAGAGCATAGGATTGAATATCTTTGTTATTGATAGTATCAGGGCGACAGAGTTCCGCTTAGCATTTTTTGGAAAAAATATAAAAAATACGTTTTTTTTTCAGAAAAAACACCTGCATAGATTGATTTTACATAGATTTTACATTGCAGTTTTTGTATTTTTTCTCAAAAACGGAACCGGCTATCCAGCTATCATCATAAAAAATTTCATCAAAATCTGTCCAGTGGTTTTCTCGTGATGCGGTAACAAACAGACAGAGACAGACAGACAGACAAAAATTCTAAAAACTATAGATTTGGACTCTGTATCGATAATAATGTCTATTTCAATAAGGTTTTCCAAAAAATATTTAATGAACAGATTCGACTTAGTTAAAATTTTATTATATGTATAGCATTGCCCGCGGCTCCGCCCGCTTTCAGATGACCAAAAACCAAATTCTTAGGTTTTATATATTTATATTTTTGGCTGTATAAAGCACGTGAGCGTAGCGGCGGAGAAACACTAGTTAAGATATAAAATATTCATTAAAATAAAAAACATAAAAAATACACAATAAAGGCGTAACATACAAAGAAAGTAGAAAACACCTTTATTGAAGTCGCCAAAAAAATTAAAGACGTAAAGTTTGTCGCATTCAGAATCGAACCTGCGTCATCTTGAGCCATTTTCATGACGGAGACTCGATTATACTGCTTTTCTATATTAAATGTAATCGTAGCAGATTTGCTTCCTGTCGATTTTGAGTCATTGAACTTTAAACAAGGCTGAATAAAGGTCAGCCCATTCTGGTTTTAGCACACAATTTACTATAACATGTTTTTAATTATTTATCTTTTTTAAGAACCACTGACTCGTATGTGAGTATGTTTTGCAAATATTTATATTCCTGAGATTGTGGTGGCACAGTGGTAACGCACTCGCTTGGATAATCGAGTGAAGCGGAATCAAATCCCGGTTCTCGCACCTCTGATATTCTCATGTGTGAATCATTCTCAACATGATCACCACTTGTGTTACGGTGAAGGAGAACATCGTGAGGAAACCTGTATGTCTGAGACAACTTAGCAAGTTTTTGAAAGGCATGTGAAGTCCACCTGTACTTGGCCAGCGTAGTGGACATTGCCTGATCTCCCTCGTCTTAAAGAGAGTCACACTCCCAACAGTGGGACGCTAAGAAGGGCTGAATACAAAAATACTTGTATCCCACTGAATTTTGTTAATTCTAATAAGGGGTATTAAATAAATAAATAATAAAAATTGCAGCAATATGGCTTCAATAATCTCTCAGTAAAATAGCTGCGACATACAGACAGATGAACATGATGGAATTATAGTGGTTCCGTTTTAGTATTTGACTATGAAACCCTAGAAACAACAAGTTCAAGATTCATATAGACATCCAATATTTGATACAGTCAGTAACAGGTGAATAATAAAAAAAAAAGATCCGACGAATTGAGAACCTCCTCCTTTTCGGAAGTCGGTTAAAACTTATTTGGAAAAATACTCCCGACATACTAATCTACTTTTTTTAGAGCCAAAGATCAATAGAACAATGAATGTAACAGTAAAATTGATTAGTTTGCGACGATGTTACCTACATAAGATAATGGACGTCTGGGGCACGAAATGAGGTAGGTCGCGGTTCGATTATCGAAACAATGTTTTAAGTTTATAGCTTTCAATATACGAAAACTATATTTTGCTTTCAAATTTTGTAGCTTTCAGTTTAGAGCGGGTCAATGGATTTTTGTTTTAATATTTTGCGGTATGTTTATATCTGCTATTTTGAGAATTGTCGATTTGAATAAAATAGACGGAGCGTAACGAAGATAATGGGTCGGCGGACTTCACATGTCTTTCGACAACTTGCTAGGTTCTCTCAGACATGCAGGTTTCCTCACGATGTTCTCCTTCACCGTAAGTCAAGTGGTGATCATGTTGGTAATGATTCGCATGTGAAAATATTTGAGGTGCGAGACTCGGGCTTGAACCCGCTTAATTTGGTTTCCAAAGCGAGCGTGTTACCAGTTACCACTGGTCAGCGTGGTAGACTGTAAGCTACGAGGCCTGTGTTATGGATACCAGATAGTTGTTACACTACACATAAATAACTTTAAATACATACTCGTACATATTATAAATATAAACACATCACTGAAATTAATGCCCCCAGCGGGACTCGAACCCGCGACCGCGGGCACAGCAAGCAGGGTCACTACATACTGAGCCAAACGTGTCGTCAAAAATCTGTTTAGCCGTTACAACGCGAAGAAGTGACAAACACACACTCATTCAAACTTTCGCATTAGTTATAATGTGATGGGCGGATCACTGGTTATACCTACTGTATCAGTATTTTTTATCTGTAGAATGTGGGCAGCTTCCCATAACAACATCTACACGAGCGAATAGGAAGTCATTTAAATATATATATATATATATATATATATATATGTATGTATGTGTATGTATGTGTGTATGTATATATAATTATTTAAATACCAAGTAATGGGTTAAACCGATGTTATTGTATAATGTACAAGCGACTTACTTTCGCTTAGGCCGGTTGTGTCCCTAGGTAACGTAATTTTTTTGAGCGGAACTCTAATCTATACTAATATTATAAAGAGGTAAAGTTTGTGAGTTTGTGACGTTGTAGGGGGTAATCTCTGGATCTACTGAACCGATTTAGATGTTTGGTAAGAAGATAGTTTGAGAGCCTGGGAAGGACACAGAATACTTTTTATCCCGGAAATCATCCCTTAAGGGGAATCAACCTATGGACGAACCCTATCCTATGTCCTATACCTATCCTATGTCCTTTCCAGGGTCTCAGGGTCAGGGTAAGCTAGCACTAAAATTAAGCTTCATGTCTGAATGTTTTAATTAACTCTCGAACGGAACTCGGAACCCTTGTAACCCTTCCCCGGAACCCTAGAATTCCGGACCACCATCTGGGAACCGCTGTGTTAAACGACAGAGTGGATTAGTAGACTATGCTCATAATGACCGTAGAATAGCATAAGCGTTTCTATACTGAGTAAGACGTAACTTGCCACCGATGATCTTCGTGAGTGAAATAATGATTGTCCTTCTACGTAAGTACCAATAATTATGTAGCATCTAAGAAAATTGATGTTTACGACATGTTTCATAGACATTTTCTTAATAAAATTATGGAATTAACATTTATTTTATAATGAGTTTACATTTTTTTATTATAATAATACAATTATTGGGTCCTTTTAACGTTTAACGCCCCACTGTTAGGTATGGGCCCTTAATGAAAGGCTGATCAAGCGATGGCTCACCACGCTGGCCAAGTGTTGGCGGACTGAGCATGTCTTGCTAGGTTCTCTCAGATGGCTTCCTGCACCATACGATGAGGCGTGGTAAGGCCAGGAAGATATTTTTTTGTCTTCCATGGCAAAGCGTGAAATTTTTATAATGAAAAATATCTTAAATAAGAAGTAGTTTATATTTTAAGAAAAAAAATTGGTTTATAAACTTTAAAATCGCTTAAAATGCATATATCCTACATTTATGGCTGATTTTTTCTTGGTATTTTCATGGTATAAGACTTGAGTTATAATCTATTTATTGGGGTGCAGTAAAATGTGCGCAAGCGATCTTGTAATAAAATAATAAGAGTTTTCACAGGATACTGTATAAGAAGCAAAACGGCGTAAATAATATTTGCGAGATGTTCTATAACGGGTATACCGGGTTTCTACCGGTGGTAGGACTCTGTCAAGCCTGAGGAGTCCGACTGGATGGGTACCACCCCCTTATATATTTTTCCCGCCAAGCTACAATTATTACATTGTTGTGTTCCGGTTTGAAGGATAAGGTAGCCTGCACAATTACAGGCAAGAGGCATATCATCTCAGTCCTCACAGTGACAACGCACCTGCGGTTCTGCATTTTTGTTATATAAAACCTAAGTGCATGAACCGTAGGTGTTATGGGCGACAGGTACTGCTTTCCATCAGTATCTGTCTGCTCGTTTGTCACTGAACCCCATGGATAAAGAAAGGATGGAAAAAAATGGATAAAAAAGCCATAAGCTATTAGCATATGCTTTTTATCTCCGGGAACAACAAAGGGTTCCCGTTTGAGTTTAGCCAGTACATTAGAGCCGAAACAAAGATTTAAGTGCGCTAATTGTTAAGAAAGAAATTGTATAAATACGGATATATATTTTAAAAACTAGCTCTTTACTCTCAGTATGTCCTTTATATTTATAATATTATATACAAGTAGCGCCATCTTCTGGCAAATTTTATTACTAACAGTAGCCTATGTGTTAGTGTAACTCATATTCTATCTATATACTAAATTTCATACAAATCAGCCCAGCCGTTTCTGCATGAAGGAGTGACATACATACAAACTTTCGCATTTATAGTATAGTAAATACATACATTTTTAATGGTTTTATATTAATGTATTAAACTAACACACTGTAATAGTAATAAATGTTACGTGCAATAGAAAAAATGATTTTTTCTTTGTAACAAATATTTATGGCAAAACTATGTTACATATAGAAATGTGTAGATGTGATCTATATATGTATACTAACAGACCCGGCCACGCTTTGATGTGGCACACATATGGAAATTATTAATTTAGCAATAAAAAATTTAAATTATCGGGATAAAAATTACCTTATCTTTTAAATTGGTACAAATCACACATTTTGAAAAAAACAACGTGTGTGTGTACGCACTTAAGAAGTTATACTTCTTTGGCGTAAC